ACTTTATACACGTTTGTCTTACACAAAATAGCATCGAACTGACTAGTGATATACACAAACAGCGTTGGCATTGGTTTACGTTCTTGATCAAATCGAAAATAACGTCATAAAGTAGATATATATACAACATTAGTACATATACAATATTCAGGTCCAAAATGTTTGTACGCATTTGTCATAGACACGGAATAGCATAACTATTAGCCTAGTGGCTATAAAGCGTGTAAAAAATAAAACACAAGGCTATGTCTGAAATTATATATGCAAAATGATTAAGTCTTAGCCTACTTACAGGTTATGGCCCAAAAACGGCTGCCTCTGGTTTTAAAGTTGGATCTGCTTCATGTTTTAGTAACAGTTTCTTGTTGAATCCGGCGTTGAACTCGTGGAGATTCTGGAAGCTGTCTTCCGTAAAATGCGCAGCACAAAGAGCTAGATTACGATCGTCATTTTCAGGAACATAATCAAATGCATTGTTGACGAACCACAACGTCCGTGGGAAGCCCATACACAGAAGACCTGACAGCTGGTGAACATAACACACTCGACGAGAGCAGAAATATGGCCAAGCACTTTTTTGCATTTTCTGGAGGGAGGGGTTGATGTAAATGAATGGGTTAGTGACGTCTAAAACCCAGCTGTAGTCCCAATCGAGTCGTTTTTGTAGGCAATAAACTTCCTGATTTTTAAAAGACGATATCTCTGCTTACATTGAACTTTCAGCGCTGCAACTTTCCAGATACTGTTCATGCACCAACGGCAGCATTACAGACTATTTAAAATGAAAAAAGTGAAATCGCAATCACCCACCCCTTTAATATCCAATAGTGTAAATCGTGGCAGCAGCTTCAGGTTGGTTGTCCAAGGCATTGTTGTCTATCTGTACTTCGGGTCTCTTCCTACTGGAGCCTTGCTTTCGATTTCAAAATGGCGGTTGCGTGAAATCAGCGTATTGCGCAATAATATCCCCACACAGACAACGTCTGCAGTACCCAAACATAACGAGAATTATTGACGATAACAGCCAGGCTGCAATGGTCTCTTGACTGTGGGGTAAAACGAGTCTGTGAGCAAAGGTTGGCTCGCTAGCTAACTTAACAACGTTTGAGCACATTTTTGATTCACCATACATTTACATAAAATTGCCAATCTTTGAAATCCACACAGTTAATTTCTCACATCAAAAGTGAATTTAGTGATGAAATAGCATATGTAATTGTAGAAAAATTAATTACTGTATTGTCCTACCTCAAATGCCGAATTGGATTCTGGGATGTTTCTGCCGTTAAGTTGTTCACACAAGTTACTAACCGATGCATCCTTGGTAAAATGGGCGTGTCAAGAACATCCGGGATTTTTAACCGTTCTTGCCAAAATGCAAACTTGTGTATTGGGACAGTACTTGGGCCACAAAAGATGACGTTTCACAACAACAAAAGGACATAAGTACAAAGATTAAGAAAGGCCCCTAGCCTTTATTATTGATATGGGTGCGTCGATCTCTTCTTCCGCTCTTTTTCCTAACAGCGCTAAATTGCCGCACACGCCCCCTTCTGGACTGGAGTGTGATCACCTGTGATTGACTGAATTCGTCATCTGACTATATGCAACGAAACGTTACGGTTCAGGATCAATACATGTACTAACAGAAATATATCATTAAACTGATCAAATTCTCCCAACCTTGTGTCATCTCTTTAGATAAGTTGATAACAAGCACAGCAAACCAGAAATTGTTCATTTGAATTTTTATTTTATTACAAACAAAACAAAACAAAAAGAGAGAAAGATGCATTATTAACATGTTCCGTTCGGTGTGCCGAATGTTGATCACAACAATGTCACTGACTGTCTGGAATCACAATGTACACAGTAACGCTTAGCAGGAAACAAACAAAACGCAAGAAAAGAAAATGAAAAGACAGAAATCAAAAAACGGACAGAAAGTGCTTGATTTGACACAACTCTCCCAAATAATACCAAGCACTGAAATTAAGGACATTTCAGAACTGTACTGGGGACTGAGGCAAATAAATTAACATTTCAACTCGTGAGATCTCAGAGTTGAGGCCTAGCTATAGGGATACACAGAGTTCACATCTGCTGATTAACCCTTTACAGTTGTACTCCCATTTAAGGCGATTACATTACAAGGCTTTGCATTTGTAGGAGCCAAAGGTCATAAAGAAACACTGCGGAAGGAATTTCATTTGCTGATTTGAATATATGCATTCATATGTTTTCAATTTTTCATGGTTACATGTGATCCACTGCATACAGGTTATTTGTTGGCAAGCCCCGAATCTAGATACAAGCGAGATGTCCGTTAGATAGCGTTGATATCAATCGTTACGAAGTCCGCTCAACCTCCTCATGGAATATTATTACAAGAAATGTCACGGACCAAACATACAATGCATCAATGTTTCGACTGTGGTTTTTTTTATTAACGTTTTTACTATTATTTTCATTTGGTAGAAGCTTCGCAATCGTAACATCAAGGACAACATCAAGAGCAACAACAATAATCTTAGTCGTAAGAACGAGAATTAAAAACAGGAGAACACAATGAAACCGAGTTTAAATACGCAAACAATATCAAAGAGCTCATAAAAACAAGTAGAAATGCGAATAAAGGATGGGAGTGAGATGCGTTCGAATGAAAGAAAGTGCGGGTGAAGTGATGGGGGGTTGACAGAGAAAGTGCAGGACTGCCAGACGTGCTTCAGTGACAATCTTGAACATTATTAGAGAGGTATGAAGATGAACCCTCTTCACCTCAAAGTAGCACAAGATTAAGGGTCAATACTTAAAAAGGCAGGGAACTCTACATATCAATGCTTGATGTCCCAATATAAGGCTAAATAGCTTCATGACAAACATGTCTTTTTTTATCCAAGACCATATTGCAGCCAATACTGTTTCAATCGAACATAATACATTACTTCCTTACTGTCGTGGTAGGTTATAAACTCTACCTTGTGTTTTTCTGTCCTCTGAAAGATGCAGGAAATTGGCCATTCTGCTAATCATTTAAAAAAAAATTGTGTATATCCTCCCATTATGCTAAAACCCCCATGTCCTTAAAGGCATAGTCGGCCCCAAATTTCTGTTACAAATCTGACTCTTTTGTAACAAAATATATTCTGATATATTTTTTTGACCATACAATGAAAGCCAATGGGGTCCAAATGAAGAGTTCAGATGCAAAAGCCTCTAAATGCCATTTGAAATTTTCTTCTTTAATGATGATTTGTATCAAACTTGTATATTTAAGTTCAGTGATTTCACTTAAATGGCAATGATAATTACCTATTAATTGTTATTTAAGTGAAATTACTGAATATACAAGTTTGATAAAAATCATCATTAAAGAAGAAAATTTCAAATGGCATTTAGAGGCTTTTGCATCTGAACTCTTCAAATGTTGTTTCGGAAACCCGCTGACTTTCATCGTATGTTCTTCAAAATGCCATCTTTTGAGTTCAGCGGGGAAAATAAAGTTAAACAGGTTTGGGATGTAAATGATGCCATTGATTTTCATTTTGGGGTCAACAATCCCTTACAGACATTAAAATTAAATTTAAAATTAAAGTGCCCCTATTGTGCTATCATTAAAGGAGTAGTTCACTTTGCTGATAATTTACTCACCCCCGTCATCCAAGATGTCCATGTCTTTCTTTCTTCAGTCGAAAAGAAATTAAGAAAAATCAGGATTTTTCTCCATATAATGGACTTCAATGGGAACCAAACGGTTCGAGGTCAAAAAGACAGTTTCAGTGCAAACTGAAAACTGTTCAACGGGCTTTAAACGATTCCAGACGTTGATTAAGGGTCTTATCAAGCGAAACGATCGCTCATTTAAAGAAAAAACAACAAAGATTAAGTTTTATAAGCTCAAATGGTCGCCTTGCTCTGATCTGTGATGCAAATTCGTGACTCTCCTGTTCGAACCCATTTATCAAAATGAACAAATTCGTGTCATTTGGTTCATTCAACGAATGAAATGAGTGAGTTGACTCAGGAAAAGATTCGTTCATTTTGATGAACGAGTTCGAATAGGAGAGTCACGAACGCGCATCACAGAACAGAGCAAGGCGACCATTTGAGCTTATAAAACTTAAACTTTGTTTTTTTTTTTTAAATGAGCGATAGTTTCGCTTGCTAAGATCGTCTGGAATCGTTTAAAGCCCTTTGAAGCTGCACTGAAACTGTCTTTTGGACCTTGAACCGTTTGGTTCCCATTGAAGTCCATTATATGGAGAAAAATCTTGGAATGTTTTAATCAAAAACCTTCATTTCTTTTCTACTGACGAAAGAAAGACATGGACATCTTGGATGACATGGGGGTGAGTAAATTATCAGCAAAAGTTTTTTCAAAAGTGAACTACTCCTTTAAGGTTCTCAATTTTGTTGTGGAGGTCTCCTACACTATTGATAAATGATTTACATGCATCAAAGGTAAAAAACACTATGATGTTTCTCATAATTTACATTGCACATCACCTAATTTTCTCACAGTGTCTGAAACAGATTCACTCTCTCTAAACCCCTCCTTCTCGTCCTGAAACAGCGTCTTCTCGACATGTTGAACAACACGAACCAAACTCTTCCAGTCTGAGCAACAACTAGTGTCATGGACAGCCAATGAACACCATAGACTGACATTATGCAAATGTGTCACATTGTTACGTAGGTTTGTAACAGGAAGTGAGACTGGAATACTGGCGACTCGTTTCAGCAGTTCAGAGCGGATTCTTTCTTTTAGGAGACGACACCTTTATTCGTCTTTAAAACTGTGCAGATCTTTGACATTCAAAAGCAGTTATATTACACACTGCATTCGAAAATAGCATAATAGGGGCACTAAAGTGGTTCATGGCGCTTCAAAACCGTCACGCTAGCTTACGATGAGGGTTTTCTTGAAAGACTGCACTATGCACGGCTCAATGCACAGACATTTATCTTGACTAAACCGTGGACCGTGAGGTGCATGCTGTCGAAAAAAAACAAATCACTGCGGGTGATGTGAAGCTATTCCACATACATGCAGCTTCATGTCTGTGTCGACGAGATTACGGGATGAACGTGTGAGGCTGATTTGAGACAGATAGCTATGAGAGGAAAGGAAATAAAATGTTAGTGTGTGTATGTGTGAACATATGTATTCGGGAGGAACCAAGAATTCAGAGTAGCTGTAACTCGAGGTGTGGTGAAAGTGCTGCTGTGATACTGAGGGTAGTCTGTTCATTCGTCAAACTGCATGTGTGTATTCAGGAATAGTCGTGTTTATGTTTGCATGCAGACGTCCTTTGACTGAGTCAGTGTGTGTGTGTGTGTGTGTGTGGTTAGAGAGGTGCTGAATTCAGTCGTCGATGCAGATCACCTCCCCGCTGCGTTGTTCCCGCCGTGCCATCAGAAACTCTACCTCCCTCTCTTTCTTTACCGACATGGGGGGTCCGTTCAACACTGTAGGGACACAAGCAAACACGCATACAGGAAGAGAAGTTAATGATCTGTACAATAATAATTTGCTTTTTTTGTTGAAATCAAAACAGCGAAAGTTAAACCTGACCTTCCAATCTTATTATTATAATTATTATTGAATTTTCCAATTCTCACCGGCTCTGACTTCCCCTTTCCATCTCATTGGGTTTCATTCACTAACCATGAATATGCACATACTTGAGTGGAAAAAAAAAAACGTGTGAATGTTTTCACACAGAAATCATTGTTCATCCACAAGCTTCTTTCTAAGTTTAGGATAAAGCTGTTCCTGAATTTTAAATTCAGTAAAAAGTCATGATCACTGCTGCCATTGCTGAGTACTCATCGCGCTCATCCCGAACATGTACTATGCAGGGTATTAGACTGAGGGAATGGATAAACGTACAGTATTTGTACATGATGGGCTTGTACACAATTATAAGTGAATTTGACCCACTGCAAAGCATTGATCAGACTTGATGAAGAGGACCGATGGCTCACCTTACCATGCGGGAACTAGAAACCTTTTGAATTTTAATAGTTTTAAAGGAGTAGTTCACTTAAAAAAAAAATTGCTCATAATTTACTCACCCCCATGTCATCCAAGATGTCCACGTCTTTCTTTCTTCAGTCGAAAAGAAATTAAGGTTTTTGATGAAAACATTCCAGGATTTTCTCCATATAATGGACTTCAATGGGAACCAAACAGTTCAAGGTCCAAATGAGAGTTTCAGTGCAGCTTCAAAGAGCTTTAAACGACACCAGGTGATGAATAAGGGTCTTATCAAGCGAAACAATTGGCCATTTAAAAAATAAATAAAAAGTTTAAGTTTTATACGCACAAATGCTCTGTTCTGTGATGAGCGTTCGTGACTCTCCTGTTCAAACCCGTTCATCAAAATGAACAAATCTTTTTTCGAGTCATGACTCGAAGGGTCCTAGATAAGACCCTTATTCATCGTCTGGTGTCGTTTAAAGCCCTTTGAAGCTGCAATGAAACTCTCATTTGGACCTTGAACCGTTTGGTTCCCAATGAAGTCCATTATATGGAGAAAATCCTGGAATGTTTTCATCAAAAACCTTCATTTCTTTTCCACTGAAGAAAGAAAGACATGGACATCTTGGATGACATGGGGGTGAGTAAATTATCAGCAAAAGTTTTTTTTTAAAGTGAACTACTCCTTTAACAGTGTAAATAAGTATTTTTAAAGATTAACAAAGAAGCCTGAGAGATGCTGGAAAAGGTCATCTAAGTGTGAACAAAACATAAAACCACATTGTGCTTCATTGTGGTCATACTTTAATAGGTAAACTTGCATACAGTCAGAATATACTATATATACCATACATAATAATAATACAAAACCTCATGTTGTATAAAGAAAGAGATGTATATGAGGACAACAGTACTGAGTATTTTAGTTCACCACACACAAGCACATAGTGAGTGTATAGTGTTTGAAATACTTTAGCTTCATTTGCTGTACTTGTAGATTTTTTTTTTGTTGCAAACTCGCAGTCTGACAGACATGATCGCTGCCATTCTTCAAGTCACGTATAAAACACAAACACCCGCCGGGAACATCCTAAAGTCTGATACTGGTTCTGGTGAAGGAACATATGAAGTGACTACAATTGGAGTGTCCAACGTTTAGTAAATGGTATTTAATACCTTTGGTTTGAAGAATTAACCCCCACCCCACTACAAATGACAGGCTACATTCAAATAACTCCTGCGATATCAACACTAATATTTTGCTACTATTCCTCTTGCGGAAGAACACACCTTACAGACGGTGCATCTTTATTTCAAGACATTTGTCAAAGTTGAAATGTCAATGTCGTGGTTGCACAATAATCCCGCCAGCCAGCTTGATGGAGCACTCGGGGTACCTGTTTTGTCTCAGGCCTAAACATGCAGCGCACTGAGAAAAGTTGCAAGATCTTCAAAAGGAACAATCCCTCTTGGCTTGGGTTCCTCAAAATTACACAACCGAAGTTTTTCCAAGGACAATAACACCAGAGTCGGTTGTTGTGCTACAGGTTTTGGCTGAGATTAAGTCTTGAGTGTGCAAAAAAACTGAAATGAGTGCACTGAAACAGGCTAATAGTAACGCTTGAGTTCTATTATCTGATTAAGTCTGGCACTGTTTCATAAACATCCAATGAGAGAAGAAGAATGCATGGCCTTCAGATGGGAACGCGTCTGGAAAGAGGCTGGAATGCGTTGAGGCTCCTTTACAAGGGGGAAATGCTGAGCTAGAAACCTGCCGAGTGACTTTCATATCTCTGAGTGCTGTACTGCAAACTCCTGCAGCGTGAGCCAAGGAAAATAATTCATTGCTCAGATTCAGATGTCGGAGTGACTTGACTCTCTGCTTCTACAATTAACAACCTTGGAACTATCTGGGAACTATCTCTCAGACTGTCTCACTCTCTTTCAGGCTGTCTCTCTCATACTCTCACTCTCTTTCAGACTGTCTCTCTCAGACTGTCTCACTCTTTCAGACTACTTCTTTTACTCACTATGATATTAACATATTACTAGAGTGCCATTGAAAAGTAGGCCAAGGGGGTCTAAGATTTATTTTTTTTTAAAGAAATTAATACTTTTATTCAGCAAGGATGAAATAAATGTATCAAATGTGCCAGTAAAGACATTTATATGATGAGATATTTCTATTTCAAATAAATTTTGTTCTTTTGAACTTCCTATTAATCAAAGAATCCTAAATAAAATGTATCATGATTTCCACAAAAAAAACTTTGAGCAGCACAACTGTTTTCAACATTGATAATAATCATAAAAGAAATGTTTCTCGAGCAGCAAATCGTCATATTAGAATGATTTCTGAAGGAGTAATGAGACACTGAAGACTGGAGTAATGATGCTGGAAATTCAATTTTGCATCACAGGAATAAATGACATTTTAAAATATATTCAAATAGAAAACACTTATTTCAAAAATGTAAAAAAACAAAACTGTGTCTGGGAATGTTTGTGTTCCTGTAATTTGTTTTAATTAACATTTATATAATTTTATATTGTTATTTTTACTGCCTATAATGTTTATCAAAGCCCTCATATACATATAATATGCATAAAGTATTAGGCTTTTTCATCCAAATATATCAAACAAATAATTGTCACCGTTAAATTGTTATTCCTACTCAGATCATCTTTTTTCTCAGTCTTCATTTTAAACATCTCGGTATGCCACTTTCTCTGACTAACCATTATCTGAAGTTTTGCTCCTGCACACCAGCCTGCCTCAAGTCTCAGTCTCTCTCTTTCTCGGTAAACCAGAAAAACACGCAGAGATGGCAGCTGGCCTCAGCGACCCGGCCTATCCAAACAACCAGCACACACACAATTAATCACACACACAGAAGAACCTTCTGTATCTTCACTCGTACAGTATCAAGCCCGACCATATGCACACTTAGCTTCAGTCCAGTGATAATACATGACCGTGCACACACACTCAAGCATACCGCTACAATAAAACGTGGTGGAAAATAAAGAGCTACTTAAGTGTCTCTCAAGTGTGCGTGCTTGCGCACACGTGGGTGTGTTTGTGCATTTTTGCAGTTCTCACACAACAGTCATGTACTGTATAAAAGTCCTGCTGGGGATTGAATCTGGCTCAAGCACAACGCAGGAATTTGGTCGGGCAGGTTGAGTCGTGTGGACTTCTGACCCAGGATCAGCACGCTCCTCCAATAAGGCAGCTTGAGAAAACCAGAAAACAGATCTCAGATCAGGTGCAAAGATATTTTCGGACGGGATGCAATATATGGAGTGGATTCGTGCCACTGTAACATTTCGCAGTCCTGGTTTAGGAGCGCAGAGAGTCCGTGGCTGGAGAATATTTTGAGAGATCCGCAGTTTCCATAAAAAAAAAAAAAAGAAGATAGTTCCACTCCACTGTGCCTCCTTTCCAAAACAGTTTTGATTAGGTCAGGGGTTTTAATGACAGAAAACAAACTTGTGGTATTTGGAATCCTTCACTTCTGACATTGTGAGAGGCTGCATGGGTGCATATGCGTGTGAGAGAGAGAGAAGGAGAGTGGATAAATGATAAAAGAGAAAGAGATATACCGTATAAAGGGATGCAGAGAAATGGTGATTTGTGGCGGAATTAGGGAGGGAAGATTTCGGGCACTTAAACGAGAACTCTCGCTCCTTCGGCCAAATGAAAAATTAATCTGCTGGGACTTCTCTCGGACCGACAGATGAAAGAAAGAGAGCGGAGGGGGGCAAGGGGAGAAAGAGTGAGAGTGGAAGGGAGAATTAAAAAAAGTGCTGGAAAGAGGTCTGTGTTTTCGTCTTTTTTCCATCAAGTATTATTAACCATTTATCCTTAAAAAAAAAACTCTCAGGAAGTCCAGTCGCACTATAATATTTTTAGACATTCCCACCTCTTTGTTCCCTCCCGTCCTGTTTAATTTATTACCGGTTTATCGTTTTTCTAGCCTTTCCGCCCCTCACATTCTACAGTCTTTCTTCCTCCAGTCTTCCATCCATCACTGTTTCAGGTCACGGTCTTTTGGGCCGTCCGTTGCGCGGCAGGTTCTCCACCGTGTTGCTGAGGCGATACTTGACGATGATGCTGTGCACGGTGGATTTGGGCATGCGGAGCTCCTGCCCAATTGACCCTTCCGACTTGCCGTCCTTCCACAGGTCCACCACCCTCTGGCGCTGCAGCACGTCATGTTCCTTAGTCTTCAGGCAGGACGGGGCTTCTGTGGAGGCAGAAAGGGGGCAGACTGTAGACACTGGGGGGTAGGGAGCGGTCAATCAGTGGCACAGGTGATTTATTGGAGTGGTGAGCCGCCATAATCAGTCATTTTTGATTTAATTTAATTTTCGTTTTGTTCGATTTTAGGTTAATGCTTAAAAAAATGAATAAACAAACAAAAAAAAAATCAGTGGCACAGTATCCCATAACCCATAACTATAGGCATTTATGCTTAAAATACTCTCGCTTTTTGAACCTCCCGCTGAGTCGGGACGTCCACTGGCTGCGAGAGCAGTGACGCGCCGAATTTTCTCAAGGTAAAAAAATCAAAATAAAAAGAGCTGTTAGCGGTTCGGGTGGTTTTTGGGAAAGAAATCTGTGTTGACATAATGTGTCTAAAACCTTTTGCTTCGCAAAGTTCACGACATGTAAAACGCTAAGAGTTTAAGTGGCAATGACTTAAAAAAGAAAACAAGCCGAGCTCGCCAAAGTCTTTATTTCTGACAACTTTAAGAATGATCGAGAGAGAGAAGTCACGGCGTCCGCTAGGATTTCCACAGAGGTGCTCGCACTCCATTTTGTCTCTCTCCTCCCTTCTGTCTTTTAGAGAGATGTCTGACCGGGTCCAAAAAATGTCCTATTATGGAGTACGCTAAACGGATCAACACAGTCTGTCCTTCATTTTTCTCTTTTCTTTCATCTCGCTTTCTCTCCCTCGTTTTTTGTTTAGTCTGGCATGCTGTTTTCATCTCGCTCCCTGGCTCGGTTTAAGCTGGGGTCACCGCAGTTGTCTCAATCAGGGACCAGAGGGTTCAAACGGGCCCCAAGCGGGGCATATTTTTAGCCAGGCGAGGGTTCAGTGTGTACAGCCTCAACAAACCCAATCAGCCTCTACACCCACCAGGATCTGAAGTCCCGGGCTATTTCAGTGACTGAACGAGAGAGACAGACGGAGAGAGCGTCTAGTTCGGCCTCCAGGGGGGTTTGAAAAACCGGCGCACATTTGTGTTTCTTTATGGTTTTTTTTTACCCTCTTAAAAATATCTGAGTAGAAAAGAAAAAAAAAAAAAAAAAAAAAAAAACGTTCCCTCGGCTGAGCGATTCCTGGCACAGCTAAAGTCCTGGATAACTGTAATGACATTTTCAGAAAAAGCACCATGGCAAGAAAATATGCCTCCCTTAGACGCTGCGGTAGAAAGATTGGTATCAGGACTCTCAATCCAGAAACCCTTCGACTCTGTACGGGTACAAACAGTCAGGACGATGGACAGAGTCGGGAATCGGATGGAATAAACAGAAAACGGCAAACAAAAACTCTTCTCAGTGCTTCCTGCACACATATGCTGTTACAGAGCTAATGTTGAAACAATAAACTCACTGGCAGGGCCAATCTGTTCTTTTGGACCAAAGATGGAGAACGTGACATTATTTAGCCAAAATTCCACTGGGGGCCCGCTCAAATTAAAATGCAATTAAGTGTCCTAACCAGAATCATATTTTTGCAGAAATATGAATACGCAAAGTGTGACTTTTGTCAGTGTTTTTTTTTTTTCAGGACAGAATATGTCCTCTCATTTATGAAAAATAACATATTGAGCAAGTGTTTAAACTTGTAGCCATGTTCAATATGTATACTAAATTAAATATGTGGAATACAAATCATTCCCCGGTTCATTGGAAGTTTGGTCACTGGTTGAATCTTTTTAAAGGAACAAATGCGACACACATCTTCAAAGTGCTTTAGAGACATGTCAGATCCAGCCTCTCATACACTGACCTCACACATTATTGTGAAATGGAGCATTTGTACACCCACATTTACGCCCACATAAACACAAATAGACTGAGAGAGAAAGAGTGAGAGAAAGCAGTGCGAGAAAACAGAGGAAAGTTGAATCATGTTTTGATTTGAGTAAAATCTCAATTGATTCTGTGTCTAAATTACTGCTTGCTTAGTCTTTGCAAGCATACAGGACAACCAGTGTAGGCCACGGTTATTATCGTCATTATACTGTAAAAATTTTTGGTTTTTGAAATTGAAATAAACATTTTTGTTAATTGAAATAAAAGCTGAAATTAAAAAAGACTAATTGAAATTTTTAAACATTTTTAAGCTAATTTATATGTATATATATTAGGGCTGTCAAACGATTAATCGCATCCAAAATAAAAGTTTGTGTTTAAATAATGTATGTGGGTGCACTGTGTATAATTATTTTATATATATATAAATACACACACATGCTTGTATATATTTAAGAAATATTTTCATGTATATAAACTAATTTATATTATATATAAATATAAATATGTTATATATAATATATATATTTCCATATAATTTATATTATATATAAATATAAATATTTTATAGATACATCATATACATGAATGTGTGTGTATTTATATATATATATATAAAATAATTATACACAGTGCACCCACATACATTATTTAAACACAAACTTTTATTTTGGATGCCTTTTATTTTTAACCTGATACACTCGTTACGAAATGAAAATAAATATATAAATTAATTAATTAAAATAACAAAAGGACATAAACTGAAAATATTAATTTAAAAATAAGAATAAAATATATCATAGTACATAAACAATACTAAAATAACACTGCTGTAGTTTGATTCACAAACAAATGATTCATTTGAATGAATCATTTAAAAAGACTCACAACATTGGTTTGAATCAGTTGAAGAGTAAATTACAATCTGTGAAACAATTACTGATCAACATCTCTTCACTTAATGACTAGATGTTTACTAGACAAAGTGCAATGCCAATGTGTAGGTAAATATACACATTGACGACAGAGTTTTTCCGAAAACTGCAATTTACTTTAAAACGTTACAGAAATTAGCATTGTTTTGTTGGGTATGTAGTTAGACCTCATTATGGGGAATGTTGCAAACACATAAATTCTCTCTCACTGCTAAAACTAAATTCACTGGTGTTTTATGGTTTATGGTGTAATCGTTTTTCCCACAAACCTGCTAATCTGAAAATTCATACTTTACTAAATTACCCAGAAATCCTCAGCTCTTAAATGTGTTAAACCAAAGTGCGTCACCAAAAGAACTGCAAAAAAATGACTGCTTGCAAACAGGTTTTCAAGACACTACCCTCCCCATCTGCCATTGGCTGGCCAAACAGTTCTTACACCATTGGATGATCAACCGTGCAGATAAATGTTTTGATAGCACCACAGAGCCACAGTGTTTACGCTTTTCAGCAGAATCAACCTATGAATGGCCTACTTTAGCTGTCTCTGCATATTAAGCTGCGAAACGAGAATTTAACATCCAAAATCATTCACGTTTAAGGCATCTAGCAGATGCTCGAATCCAGAGCTGCATACAAGAAGCACTTTGTTTTCACATTTTGAGACTGCCATGAGCAACAGATGGCAAGCAAATCTGCCTTTCAAATTTCAACCAACCAAACAAACATGTCAATACCCCCAGCCGCTCAAAACCGATTTCAACTGGACTCTCAATTGAACTTGAGAAGTTTCGAATTCCTTGTGTCTTTTTCTACACACAAGCAGACCGTTTCTATAACCATCATAGACATTCAAATCAACAGTTTCATCATATACAAGCATTCAGTTTAATACGAGCAGTTGATCTTGTCATTTGAAAAGCCTTTATAATGGTTCAGAGTAACCCGAGCATGAGACCACTGGAAGCTGGTCTGGTTTTGCTTTGGTTATGGGCTCTTTCTGGGGATGGATCAGCAAAACTGACCTGATATGAAGGAGCCAGGGGGCATCTGGCCGTAGTTGGCCCCAGCTAGAGTGAGAGCCGCTGAAGGTGCAGGTGTGAAGGGATGGCCGAAATTCTGTGGCGTGGCATACGGGCCTGAAGGAATAGGCTAGATAAAGAGAGAAACAGAGAGAAAGTGTGTGCGTGTTATGAATCTGAGAAACCAAAGCAGGTCATTCACAGTTGTGTAAGATTAAAGGGTTAGTTAACCCAAAAATGAAAATTCTGTCAGTATTTACTCACCCTCATGTTGTTTCAAACCTCTATGTGTTTATTTGTTCTGCTGAACACAAAGGAAGATATTTGGAAGAATGTTTTAATCAAACAGATCTCAATCCCCATTGACTACCATAGTATGTATATAGTCAATGGGGACTGAGATCTGTTTGATTACAACATTCTTCCAAATATCTTCCTTTGTGTTCAGCAGAACAAATAAACTCATAGAGGTTTGGAACAACTTGAGGGCGAGTAAATACTGACAGAATTTTCATTTTCGGGTGAACTAACCCTTTAATGTTAAAACTGCAACAAATGGCATGTAGGTGGATGTGAGTGTGTGTTGCGTCCTAATTTGCATTTCCTATTCTATAGTGTTTTCACACTGAAAATTCCAAATAGAATTTAAATACCAGGATGATGCACTTAATAAACCAGGAGAGCACCAAAGATTGGAGTGTCGGATAAGTCATGCTTTTCTGTCAGGAACACTATCGGTAAAGACAATTGACAATTAGCATATAGGTAGGATTGGCGGTATGGTCAGAGCCCGTCTAACGGAGAGCCTTGGCACTTCCTATTAGCCCCGTTGTGTATCATCTTGGTTGCAGTTCCATTAGAATTCCACTGGAGGTGATCGCGGGCGAGAGCAGAATGAATGGGAGTCTATGGGGCTAAACGGCTAAAAGTGTCTCTTTCATCAGCTTGTCGTTAAATCAACACAGATTTTATAGTTGATTCTGCAAGTTCAATATAGATTATAGGCCAAAAGTCGAATGAACGAGTACTTATGTCCTTTTGATTTCTTACAGGTTAGGCCGTTGTTGGCCGGAGCACGCTAGCATTCACAGTTTTGAACGGATTTTTAGAACAGATAAGTGAACTTAAAAACGCAATTTTCAGCTGAGTGTATTTTCTTAGCCCTCCCTTTTGAATGCAACTTTAAAATTACTTGACAAAAAATTGCATCCTGAGAAAAGTGGATTTCTGGGGGTGAAACCCCATTGACTCCCATTCATTCTGCACTCGACCGCGAGCGCCCCCGCATGGACAGAGACGTGTTACTGCAGCCAGTCCAGAAACCGGAAGTAACCAGCCAGTGCCAATTCTCTTCAATTAGACATTCTCTGGTATGGTTCTGTTCAGGGCAGCCTAGCATGGATAAGAGGAGGAAGAGGAGCAATAACCCCCCTTAAGCCTAGTTCACACTACATGATTTTAAGCCCGATTTGCAAATCGTTGAGCGTGCCGACAGGTCAGGGTGTTATCGCGTGCAAATTGTGATGAACGCTCGCCAATCTGTTAGTATGAAAGAGCCAAGAACGCATCAAATTTCCAATAGGATGTGAAAGCGGGAAGCAAACGGGACAATCACAAATCAATAAAACAAACTCTTTTCTATTTTTAGTCATTTTTAAAATGTAAATTATTCCTGTGACAATGTCATTATCATTACTCCAGTCTTCAGTGTCACATGATTCTTCAGAAATTGGAAATTGCTGATTTGGTCAATTTAATGAGTATTAATTTATACAAATAAATTAAAAAATTAAATGATAGTACTGTATCTGTGAGAATGTGTATATTGATATGTGTTTGTGTGTTTACCGGCGGGGTGTGTGTCTCGTTGCCTTTGTTGGCCAGTCTGCTGAGGATGCTCCTCTCCGACATCTGCAGACGGGCCGTGATCGGAGGGACTCTGGAGAGTGTGGCCGGGAGCCGCGTCACGTCTGCCTTCATGTCACTCAGAAGCTCCTCCAGTTGGTTAAGAACTACACAAATGTTCATTATATTACAACATGCCAAGTTGCAAAAACTAAATGTACTATAATTATATAATGTTCTAACAAATAAGATATATTTTATAATGTTTTATAAATTTTTTATAATGTACTAACAAATAAGAACAGGAACATTTATTAAGAAAGTAAACGGGGTCAACTTTGATTTCATGATGACTTTAACAACTGAACTGAGGGAGTGGGAAGCATTATTAAAATCTTTATCAAACACTCTGAAATTTATTCAAGCCTCGAAACAATTCCAGAAGAGAGGTTTTGAACGGTGCTGTTTTTGTCAACTAAAAGTAAAACTAATTTTCTTGAATTGAAATAAAGCCGAAATATATTAAAATATAAATATTAAATGTAAAACTTAAACTTAAGAAACAACATGAATAAAATAAATCCAAAACACGCATTAATAAAAAATATATATATAAAAAAATTTAAATAAACATTCAATAAAGCTACATAGAAATATAAAACACCCCAAAACTAATAAAAATAGTTAATTGAAAATATCAATAAATACTATAATAGTATACAGTATAAATAAAAGGGATAATTCAGGATTTAGGATTAGTAGAAAACCTGAAGTATTTTCAAATTTCCGTGCTTTCCACCCTCATATCCCCCTGAGACGAGAGATTTATGTATTTTTTGTCTGGAAAACTGGAAACATTTTGCGTCATTGGAGGATTTTTTGGCCAGAGGCTAAAGACTACAGTCAGTAGTACGGGCTGTCCCGCATGTTCTCACCCCGCCCATAGAGGGCGATCTCACAGAATGAACACATAGTGTCAGACTTTTTTTTTTGGAAGCTAAGCTAGCAGGAGAAAGCTGAGTAGTAGGGGTTACCATCCTCTTTTTCCCGGACATGTCCGGCTGTCGATGTCCAGGATTCAGCTTTTGCTTTCTGCAGTCGCCATTCATTGTTTACATGCACAGCTTTTGTTTCAATCTAACTGAATTCATTCTGATTGGTGAATCTGAATGTAGTGTTTACATGAACGCTAAACAAGTGATCGGTTGATGTGCGTTTTTAACATTGCTAAGAAAATTCCTGCTCCTCCGTGAGAGATACGAGACCCAGTGTTGTAGTACTCGAGACTCGGACTCGTCTCGGACTCGGTCTCGAGACCATATTTTAATGGTCTTGGTCTCGTCATGGACTCGTGTCCATTTGGACTCGGAATTGACTCGTACTCGAACATTTTTTTTTTTAGGACTCGGAATTATTCCCGAGTCCACTCGAGTTCAATTCAAAATATTTTTCATGATTATTAATGTATGTTAATAAAATATTTCTTTAAATTGATTGACACGACCAGTGATTGGTGATTTTCTAGTGCGCAACTGCGCATGACAAATTGTAATAAAATTACTTTTAACACCACCTACTATGTGGCCTTTTTACCCTAAACTGATCATATTTTTAAACTCTAAGTAAATTCAGTAAAAAAAAAACAAAAAAAAGGATTTCTCTAAGTAAATAAAAGTAAATTAGGTAATCAACCCTCACTGCTCTCGGTCTCGACTCGGACTCGACCGTCTCTGGACTCGGTCTTAACTCAGACTCGACTCTGTCTGGTCTCGGTGTCGACTCGGACTCGAGTGAGGTGGTCTCGACTACAACACTGACGAGACCGGTGCGTCTCACAGGTGTCGCTCATCGTTAACTTAATCACACCACCGGCCTCGCGGCGTTCTCCCGCGGCCCTCACTCGTCCCGCTCGCCACAGTAAACATGATGAATGGCGACTGTAGAACGCAAAAGCCGAATTCCAGACATTTTGGGCGATCTCAAAACACATTTTCGGGCAGACTCATCACGTAGACTCAGACTTGTTGTTTAACCACTGCGCTCTGTTACCGGTAGGCGTGGCCTCATAGGGCAGCGAAGCAAGTGCATTCTGGGAGTTGTTGTCTTTCTCAGTCTAGAAAGCTCCAAATTCAAAAATAATTTCACATTTCTTCTAGATAAATGACCCATTTTAAATACACATTCATCTTTCCAGAGGTGAAGTATCCCTTTAACCTTGTTTTGAAACGCATCAAATATGCACCTTTTTATCAATATCAGTTTTAAAAACCGATCCAAGGTTCAGAAAGCGAACTAAAAATGATTCAATTGATTCTAATTGTCAAAAGTGAAGTTTTCTGGCAATTCTCTCAGCAATTGCAGCTAATCATAAGAGTGACATGCCAAGTAAATTGGTATCCAATAAATGGTTTATTGCTACAGTTTAAACAACACGTTTGAGAAAACTCCAGAACAAATAAAAAGGCCTTGTGTTCTTGAACTGTTCCCATATCAGAGCTGGCGGGAACACCCGGTCCCACTGGATCTACCCAGAAGCCCTTTATCAGACTCTCAAGACGCCAGCTAACTTTGTGTGAGTTACACACAAACACGTTCCCTCTGATACATCATTTCTCATTAAAAGATATTTACGAGATAAATCACACACACTCTCCTTACCCTTATGCAAGACAGCATTGGCAGGTTTGTTTCCAGCAAGCGACTCCTTGCTGAGATGCTGATGTGACTCAGCTAGACATTCAACCTCGGCAAAACGGGCGTTCAGGGCCATGGCCGGGTGAGTGGGGTCCTGGGTCATGTTGAGGTACGCAGCCCGACGCAACTGCTCCTCTATCACCAGGGCCTGCTCCAGCAACTGAGAGAAAGATGTAAAGATGTGTGAATCTCTATCTTCACAAAACTGGGGCTTCGGAAGTCATGAGTTTTATAAATGCTGCTTAATAAAGCACTGCAGCTAAAATGATTCAAATTTTCATTTTTTTATTTATTTATTACAAGGACAGTGCATATTAACATGACAAGTCAAAATATGCCAGAGTTAGCCAAAAGGCTAGTTTTCATCTGCAGTCCTGGGCTGTATATATATTCATTTATATTATAAACTTTATAATCTTTTGTCATACAAGAGGTCACTGTACTATAAAAATATCTTGTAAGTTTTAGAACTTCCTTGAAAAACAACTTTTTTCAATTTTGTTACATTATTATGCCATAGTGTGACTAAAGACCGCCTCTGCAGAAGAAGATCAACGCTTAAGGCCATTGCACACCGAGTACGAAATTTTCGTATGCGTTTTTTCGTGTTCGTCAGCCTAAAAATTTGTCACGCACAGAAACCTTCCACACTGAGTCCGATGCGTATTTATTAAACCTTTGCGGAAAAAAACACGCAAAAATTCTAAATGGATTTGTCAAGCAGTGAGGATGATTTTGTTGTCCTCTCTCTTATTGAAAAGAGAAGAAAGAGAAAATATTACGTCCATCCAATCCTGAAATTGCGCTGACCTCCTTATCAAGGAGTTGCGAATTTATGCCGAGCGATTCAAAATTTGCCTCAGAATGTCAGTGGGACAGTTTGATGCTTTGCTTGCGATTCTGGAGCCACATTTTAAAAACAAGACCACCAATTTCCGTGAACCAATCGATTCTGAACAGAGACTTTCAGTATGTCTAAGATATGGACACACACGCGGCTCGGTGGAAGCTGTAGGCTACAGGTTATATATTGTACCCAAATAATACATAGATTAGTTATCGAATTGGCTGCTCAATCACACATTAATCGATCCAAAATTTCAATCTGATTGAAAGGGGAGGTTATTCCTTTCATAATCCAATCGAGAGAAGTGAACATAAACACTTGATCGAATTGAAAACTGAAGCACTGCGCATATGTGCAATGATGTGCGGAACGAGCTCCATAGACAGTAAACGAGCTCCTCCCGGCCCTGAATTGTCAAAAAACCTCTCAAAATGCTGGCTGTGGATGCGAAAAACGCAGAAAATCGAACACGATCCGAATTTTTTTATGACGGACGAAAGTATTCGGAGGTGGTGTGCAAGCGTGACTGACATAACGTGAGGTCAAATTTTTTCTGCTTCACATTTATGAGAAAACTAGGAGTTTTTGATGAATAGAAATCTTTATTTTAAATAGACTTTCGCTTTTGATTAATTTGATGCACCCTTGCTGAATAAAAATCTTACTGACAATCAGGGCTTGACATTAACTTTTTTTTGCTCAGCAGCCAAAAAGTTACTAGCCACTCAGCATTTTCACTAGCCACAATTTTGACATTGATACCATAGAGGAAAACTGCCATATAGATATTTTTAATATTATCTAGATATTTTTAATAATTTGGCAGCAGGTTTATTATGCTGCTGTCACTTTAAGAGCTGATGCACGGATTCATTATACTGTTACACATGCGTTTTATTTCCCAACATCTTACGTTCACTTAAAACTAGGGTTGGGTATCGAGAATCGAGTATCGATTGGAACCGGGACTAACTTTTTGTTTTTCCCGGAATCGTTCAAAAGTTAAAATTTCGATTCCTAGTTTCGATATTCCCAGTCCGCCGAGCGGAAGAAGAAACCGCTGAACAACACCAACGAAGAAGCGTCTACCGGAAGTGTTGGCATAACCACGCGAGTCGAACATGAGTAGCTTACGTCGGCGATCCAAAGTGTGGCTTCACTTTTCTAAAAATAACGAAATCTCTGCAAAATGCAAAATTTGTGACAAAAGGAGTATTTTTACAGAAGGAGTATTTCCTTCAGAAAGGATTATTTCCTTCAGAAAGGCCGTTGGTTAGCAAGGTTAGCTAAACTTTTTTGACCCTGCCTCTTAAAAGAATCGGAATCGAGAATCGTTAGGAACCGGAATCGAAACAAGGAATCGGAATCAGAATCGTTCAAATTCAAACGATACCCAACCCTACTTTAAAACATAACTCACTGTGTTTACGTGAATACTCGCCAAGACCGGCATTTGACATTGTGTGTATTTGACTGTTTAAAGCTGCACTGTGTGATTTTTACCCCCATCTAGCGGTGAAAAGGTATATAACCATCCAGTGAATATTAGTTTCTGTTCCTCTCAACTCCGATTTCGTTTTAACTCCTACGGTGGCCAATGTAGTCCAAGATTAACATGGCTTCCAGTTCGACCTCGTCCATGAGTGTTAACTCAAACGTAAACGCGAAAGGCGAAGCTTGATGTCCCTCTTTGGCTAATGTAATTTCAAGATGGAGGGGCAACATGGCGACCGACATTAGATCCCCTTACCCGTATGTATTTTAATGCATATTATACACTCACGAGAATACTTTATTACTTGAACGAAGTAAATATACATTAATGAGCACATATATTTTTGAAAGAACTGAGTGTTTTTAGCTAAGAATAAACTAAAAGAGTTACACAGTGTAGCTTTAAACACTATAAGCAGCGAAAAATAACTTAATTTAGTGCTGAGAGGCGGCTTTATGTATGGCACTTTGGGTGTCAGAACAAAATCTGCAGGAATGAGTAAAATTATGCATAATACGCACAATCCCACGCCGAATTTCAAGTCCTGTAACAGTGAGTAAGAGTGAGTGAGGAGAGGCGGGTTTATGTGTCACTCGCTGTCGGAGAGATGAAAGAGAGAAAGTGCAGAGAAAGTGTATCTATTCTGAGGAAATTGAGTACAAGTTTCAGATATTTCAGCTTAGATAGTGATATTTTTGACAACACTACAATGCACTTAGCTTATTATTCCAGATGCCTTTTTAAGACAATTAAAAAATGCATATATTGTATATAAAAGTGGCTAGTAGGAGTGACTGCATTACACAGCATTATACAGCACAATACACCCACATTTGGCGGGTTGGTGGGTGTTAACATCAAGCCCTGCTGACTATAAACATTTGAATGGTGGTGTAGTTTTTCCTTTTCATTACATCAGGTAAGCACAAAAATAGTCTCAAAAAAGACAAAGTGAGGAAAAAAAGCATCATGTGTGAAAGAGAAAAGCGGCTGAGAGGGTTTAAAAAAAGACAAAGACTGAGAACACAGAGCTGGATCGAGCGAGAGCGAAACACGGAGGAAAGCGGGCCACGAAATAAAAGGGAATTTAAGAAATTGACCAGAATTGACAGAAGAATTACGTCTGGAACGATAAACCATTCCAGTGATTTACGAGCATGAGAAAGCACCAGCTTCCAATTAAAAGAAGTTCCACTGGAAAAACAGCGGCTCTCAGGTTGCTCAACGCAATCGAAATTATGTAAGAGAAGAAGAGAAAGACAGAGCGAGAGGAAAAGAGCAAGGGAGGCTGAGAAAAGAAAAAGGAGGATGTAGAGAAAAGGATATGAAACATGTGATGAAAAGAAAAACAGGAAAAACAACGAGAGACTGGGCTGTTTCACAAGACGAGTGTCAGCATATTCAGATCTTGTGTTTGCGATTGTGACGCGTCGACATGTAGAGATAAAATCTCCCGGGCAGGAGTCAGACAAACAGCAGAACAAAAGGTAGAGAAAGAATATATAATTATGATACAAATGACAAAACGAAAGAAGCCGCTTTCAAACGCAAGAAAATACAAGTATAACTACAAAGCCACAATGAAACTGAATTAAAGGAGTAGTTCACTTTTTAAAAATTTTGCTGATAATTTACTCACCCCCATGCCATCCAAGATGTCCGTGTCTTTCTTTCTTCAGTCGAAAAGAAATGAAGGTTTTTGATGAAAACATTCCAGCATTTTTCTCCATATAATGGACTTCAATGGGAACCAAATGGTCCAAAAGACAGTTTCAGTGCAAACTGTTCAAAGGGCTTTAAACGATTCAAGACGATGAATAAGGGTCTTATCAAGCGAAACGATCGATAATTTAAAACATAAATAACAAAGTTTAAGTTTTATAAGCTTAAATGGTCGCCTTGCTCTGTTCTGTGATGCTCGTTCGTGACTCTCCAATTCAAAATGAACAAATCTTTTTCTGAGTCAATTCGTTCATTTCGTTCGTTAAATGAACCAAATGACACAAGCATAGATTTGTTCATTTTGATAAATGAGTTCGAACAGGAGAGTCACAAACGAGCGTCACAGAACAGAGCAAGGCGACCATTTGAGCTTATAAAACGTAATTTTTTTTTAAATGAGCGATCGTTTCGCTTGATAAAACCCTTGTTCATCGTCTTAAATCATTTAAAGCCCTTAGAACAGTTTGCAGTTTGCACTGAAACTGTCTTTTTGACCTTGAACCGTTTGGTTCCCATTGAAGTCCATTATATGGTGAAAAATTCAGGAATGTTTTTTCGACTGAAGAAAGAATGACATGGATATCTTGGATGTCATGGGGGTGAGTAAATTATTAGCAAAAGGTTTTTTAAAAGTGAACTGCACCTTTAAACTTCACCCCGGATATCACAACAAACAAAAAGAAACTAAACTAAACTAAACTTTTATATATATATATATATTCTTCATTTACAACATACCTTAAACCGTCTGGCCAGGAACTTGTTTTTCATCTCTAAGAAGTTTCCCTTGTTGGCTTGAGTTTTGAAAGGTTCGTTGACGATGGCGAACTGAGGGTCGTTCTGAATGTCCTGCCACCGGGCGTAGCCATGACTGCAACAGGTCAAGGATCAGGCTTTCTACACATTTCTCCACACTCAAGCTCTCTGTAGACGTCTATAGACTAAATGGTTCAAACAGCATTTTTTTAACTAATCTTTTTCTGAGTCATTTGGTTCGTTTAACAAACGAAACGAACAAATTGACTCGGAAAAAGATTCGTTCATTTTGAGTCCGAACAGGAGAGTCACGAACGTGCATCACATCAGCATTTGAGCTTGCAAAACAAACTTTTTTTTTTTTTTTTAAATGAGTGATCGTTTCGCTTGATAAGACCCTTATTCATCGTCTGGAATCGTTTAAAGCCCTTTGAACAGTTTGCAGTTTGTACTTGAACTCTCTTTTGGACCTTGAACCTTGATCACTCTGCTTTCGTTTTCGGCTTATGTTCAAAACAATCACGTTTAAGCCACTTAATTAGTTTAGTCCGGTTATACGTACAACCGCAAACAGCACATGTTGCCCCTGAGCTCCGTAACGACATCTCTCATAAAGATTTGCGTCTTTAAATAGTAAAATAATTCTCCGAAAAACAGCTAGCTAGCCTCTGCGCTAACTAACACACAAAATACCATTGGAATGCTACTTCCGCCGCCTCACCGTAAGTTTCACCCACTTTATTTTTTACAGGAGCGCCCCTCGGAAACTTGTGGATATTTTAGAAATTCATTACTCAAATCAAATTCCATAGGCGTAGGAAGCCTGTGAACGATACTAAAAAGATCTTTATTTCCAATGAAAAAAACTGTCTGTAATGTTCGCTAAAGCAATATAAATGTATGTGCAGGAACTCAATTTCTTCCATCTCATTTTATTGCCTTGTTCTTCTTGGCTTTGAGCTCTAAACAAACTGTTCATTTAGCAAGCGCAGTATAAATATACATTAAAGGAACTGGATTGTTTCTACGGTGACAGCAGCCTATCTCCAAGGATACCAAACGATGCCTGCCAGCAGCCAGAAGTCGTGTCGCCGGTGCCAGATCTCGTTGATCTTGCCTGACGAAACGGCCGCCCGCTCCTCGTTCTGCCAAAGAGTGTGAAGCTCTGTGAGAAAGAGAAAAGCACAACCCGGCCAGATATCAGTTACCATCCATTTATATTATACCAGCTGACGAGTAAATAAACAAAAGGCAACACAGCTAGCAATGCGTATGCGTATAAACGAAATGATTTGTCCAGAGTGCAGGCTGTGTGCTCAAGTGTTTGCTTGAAATGTTTTATCGATGCTGGTGAAATGTTTATAGCTACAGTAAGTATAAACCCCTTGATGTTTAGTTGTTCTCTTTTAAAGTTGTAAATTCAACTATGCAAAGTGATTTGCTTCTGGGAAATGAAGCTATTTATAGCGACTGCGGCTGGGAAAAATCTAAGAAATAATAATAGACCAGAGATTGACCACTAGCTTAAGCTTGCTAAATGAGGGTTGTTGAGATTACAGGTGTTGGATTTGAGTATCTATCTGGTATCTGATCATGAACGGGTCATAAAAAACGTATGGTAAAATGGTAAAAAATGGTAAAAAAACAAACCCAAATTCAAATTTTTCCCTGATGATCTTAGTCAGGTGATGAATCATATTAGACAGTTCAGTGTGTTAGTCATTAGACTCCTTTTTAAAGACAAATCTCAGATTTTAATGGGAAATGGCGCACCTATAATTCCCAATAGTCCTATTATAGTATCCACCCTCACCACACACACACCAATTATTCATATTATTAGTCTCGCAGAGAAATTCTGATGCATGCACTTGTACAGTATCTGCACACGAAATATAAACACACGAGTGTACATTTACATACTGATTGACCATGAGTATGAGCAGAATGCATGAAATCATAGGTTTTCGCATTTCAACACAAGTCATTTTAGGAAATAATCAATGGTGAACGATGGAAAATAATCTAAGGGAAGTCTTTGTAAACCACTGACAGATGAAATCACTGCTTGCCGTTCCTGCTGAAACCGCTCAGCGGAAGCGCAGAGAAGCCGAACTGCTCCTTCACAATGTAACCACACTGTCATGTTACTCAACAACACACTGCGCTTTATCATAACAGCGCAAGCTTCACTTTACATGAGTGAGCAGCTTTACATAATGTCCACACAATTACCTGGCTCGTTGTCACCACTTGGCAAAAAATTAACTAGCGTGATGGACAGTACGAAGGATAAACATGGATAAAGGTCAAGATGTAGAGCTATCGAACCAGCCATTTGTATATCATAGAAATATGAATTTCAAAAATGCATCCGTAAGCTGCAGGGTGTCATTACTGTGCTGTTAACGACTGTTTTTTCCTGTTGGCCCCTACTGGAAGATGCCATAATTACACCATCAGAAGGCAAACAGCATCTTTCTCCATTGATGGCCTTGCAAAATTGGCTGTGTAATCTGACTTTTCTTTTCAAGCAAAATTGTATTACATAATAGATATTGTTGGAAGGCTCTTAAAGGAGTAGTTCACTTTTAAAAAAAAACTTTTGCTGATAATTTACTCCCCCATGTCATCCAAGATGTCCATGTCATTCTTTCTTCAGTCGAAAATAAATTAACGTATTTCCAGGATTTTCTCCATATAATGGACTTCAATGGGAACCAAACGGTTCAAGGTGCAAAAGACAGTTTCAGTGCAAACTACAAACTGTTCAACGGGCTTTAAACGATTTCAGACGATGAATAAGGGTCTTATCATGCGAAACGAGCGCTTATTTAAGTAAATAAATAACAAAGTTTAAGATTTATAAGCTCAAATGGTTGCCTTGCTCTGTTCTGTGATGCGCGTTCGTGACTCTCCTATTCGAACTCGTTTATCAAAAATGAACAAATCTTTTTTGTGTCATTTGGCTCATTCAACGAACGAATTGAATTGACTCTGGAAAAGATTCGTTCATTTCGATGAACGAGTTTGAACAGGAGAATCACGAACGTGCGTCACAGAACAGAGCAAGGCGAGCATTTGAGCTTATAAAACTTTTTTTTTTTTAAATGAGCGATTAGTTTGCGTGATAAGACCCTTATTCATCGCCTGGAATCATTTAAAGCCCGTTGAACAGTTTGTAGTTTGCACTAAAACTGTCATTTGGACCTTGAACCGTTTGGTTCCCATTGAAGTCCATTATATGGAGAAAAATCCTGGAATGTTTTCAACAAAAACCTTAATTTCTTTTCGACTGAAGAAAGAAAGACGTGGACATCTTGGATGACATGGGGGTGAGTAAATTATCAACAAAAGTATTTTTTAAATTGAACTACTCCTTTAAAAGCATTAAATGTTTAATTTGCAAGTACTCGTCGTATCAGCATTGTCTTGATATGATTATTCACTCACGTTATTTAATAGCTGAGGTAATTGACACTAAAGTTTAATTCAAGCACACATTGAGATGGCAGATACCAACGGTTGAGTTTACCTGTGAATCCTCCATCTGCGATGTTGAACATAAACCGTGGGCGCTCTGTGGGTTTGCCGTTACCTTTGGGCACTTCCTCCCTCTGCCCTCGGCCCTCCTTCCCAGCATCCCTTTCACCCTTCACCTCCTCTGTGTCCCGATGGGAAAAAACAGGTTTACATCATGTTTAATTTAGTAATTGGATGCACTACTTCAGTTGTTATTCTCCTCTACGCCACTATGAAACATACAAAATACTAAGAAAGAAAGAGATTCACCTTTTTTGACATCAGAAGATTGATCCAACTTCTCTTTCTTTTCCGTTGTTTCTGTAGGAGTCGTCGTCACTTCACTCTTCTCTTTCTCTTCTCCGGTCTTCTCTCTTTTCTCCCCTTTCAGAGCCTCTGCAATGACAGACAACAATCAGCCCTCAACTCACAATAAACTGACAGCCAATCGGATTTCCCCAGTTTCCTCCACAGGTACCTCTGCTCTCATCTTTAATGGACGGGGAATCAGACGTTTTCTCTGGGGAGGCGTCTTTTTCAGTGCTCTCCTCGTCTTGTTTCTCTCTCTCGCTCTTTTCATTCGGAGAAGACTGAGAAATATCAGGATTTTCTTTCGTTTTTGAGTCATCGGATGCTGTGGTTGGACTTTCAGATGTCTGAGCTTTTTCACTCGTTGCGGGATCTTTCTCACCCTCTTCCACAGTGGTGGAAGTCTGGAAGGAGAGAAAGAAACACTCTCTTTATTTGACTTTCGCATGTCTTTACATGAAGGTACAGTCTGGAAAACAAAGACTCGCGTCCCGGAAAAGCCATTTACAGACATTCAAAAACAAATAAATCATAAATATTTCATTATATCAAAACAGATGTTTATTTCATTACATTATAGCAGATGTTCGGCTAAAGGACAGTCACTAATGCAGGATTTGGGACTGTTTGCCTCCTGCTTCTTCGGGGATCCATTCTGGAACCGAGCTGTTTTACATTAGATTTGTTTAAATTGAGCTGAAAATAGCCAAAAGTGCTTTGCGTGTGGTTAAAACACCCGCTTTGCAAAAGATTGTTAGAGATTTGGGATCATTTATTCGCCCTTATGTTGTTCCAAATCTGTATGACTTTTTCTTCTGCAGAACATAAAGGAAGATATTTTGAAGAAAGTCGGTAGCCAAACAATTTTGGTGCCCACAGACAAAAAAAAAAAAACAAAAAAAAAAAAAAAAAGTAAATGAAGACAGAAGGCAAAATCATATTAGGGTGAACTATGCCTTTAAAGTTCTTTTATCTTTAAAGTAAAGATAAAGTTAAATACTTGGGTTCATGGCTTGATCCTGAACTTATATTCAAATCTCACATTGACCACCTTCTTCACAAATTTAATTTTGCAACCTGTGTTTTATTTCGATCCAGTAATTGATGTACACTTGGTGTCTGAAACACACCACACAACTGATGTTGCCATTTTTTGACTATACTTATGTTGTTTATCAAAAGGCATCTAAAACTAGCCTTCTACCCCTTAAAGGAGTAGTTCACTTTTTAAAATAAAACTTTTGCTGATAATTTACTCACCCCCATGTCATCCAAGATGTCCACGTCTTTCTTTCTTCAGTCGAAAAAAAATTAAGGTTTTTGATGAAAACATTCCAGGATTTTCACCATATAATGGACTTCAATGGGAACCAAATGGTTCAAGGTCTAAAAGAGAGTTTCAGTGCAAACTGCAAAAGGGCTTTAAACGATTTCAGACGATGAACAAGGGTCTTATCAAGCGAAACGAGCGGTCATTTAAAAAAATAAAAAAGTTTACGTTTTATAAGCACAAATGCTCGGCTTGCTCTGTTTTGTGATGAGCGTTCGTGACTCTCCTGTTCAAACTCGTTCACCAAAATGAACAAATCTTTTTTTCGAGTCATGAGTCATTTTTTCGATAAGACCCTTATTCATCGTCTGGTGTCATTTAAAGCCCTTTGAACAGTTTGCAGTTTGCACTGAAACTCTCATTTGGTCCTTGAACCATTTGGTTCCCGATGAAGTCCATTATATGGAGAAAAATCCTGGAATGTTTTCATCAAAAACCTTAATTTCTTTTCAACTGAAGAAAGAAAGAAATGGACACCTTGCATGAGATGGGGGTGAGTAAATTATCAGCAAAAGTTTTTTTAAAAGTTTAATACAGCATACAATAATCTCTGTAGATTTTCTGTAGTTTATTTAAGGCTCCTTCAGACTGTAATAACTTACCTTCAAATATACACTCTTTAACATCAATTCACATATTTAAAAATAGTTTGTCTTCTTATTTTGAACTAAATTGTTCATGTTTCAGATGATACTATACTAAAGTCATTTTATTCTTTTTTTTGTTGTTAATTGTGTAACAATGTGTTGATTGTTTGTAATATTTATGATTTGTCCTTTGTTCTGTATTGTACTGTATATTAGGACCCCCTCGAACTCCCTTTTAGTTTATTCTTAGCTAAAAACACTTAGTTCTTTCAAAAATATATGTGCTCATTAATGTATATTTACTTCGTTCAAGTAATAAAGTATTCTCGTGAGTGTATAATATGCCATTGAAAATACATTCGGGTAAGGGGATCTAATGTCGGTCGACATGTTGCCCCTCCATCTTGAAAGTACATTAGTAGGGTTGGGTATCGAGAATCGAGTATCGATTGGAACCGGGACTAACTTTTCCCGGAATCGTTCAAAAGTTAAAATTTCGATTCCTAGTTTCGATATTCATAGTCCGCCGACCGGAAGAAGAAACCGCTGAACAACACCAACGAAGAAGAGTCTACCGGAAGTGTTGGCATAATCGCGCGAGTCGAACATGAGTAGCTTACGTCGGCGGTCCAAAGTGTGGCTTCACTTTTCTAAAAATAACGAAATCTCGGCAAAATGCAAAATTTGTGACAGAAGGAGTATTTCCTTCAGAAAGACCGTTGGTTAGCAAGGTTAGCTAAACTTTTTTGACCCTCCCTCTTAAAAGAATCGGAATCGAGAATCGTTAGGAACCGGAATCGAAACAAGGAATCGGAATCGGATTCAGAATCGTTCAAATTCAAACGATACCCAACCCTATACATTAGCCAAACATTTATGCATTTCCACTCTGTCATTATTTAGTATGGTCTCCACAATGTAGGTGATTTCAGGTTTTGAATTTACTCCTCAAAATGTAGCACACACACCCCCACACACGTTGGCTTTCCATGTTTTATGGGGACTTCCATAGACATAATGATTTTTATTCTGTACAAACTGTACATTCAACCCCTAAACCCACCCATCACAGAAAACTTTCTGCATTTTTACATTTTCAAAAGAAAAAAAAAAATTCACACTAAGTATGATTTAAAATCTTTTTTTTTTGTAAAGTAGACCAAAAAAAGGTCCACACAAGGACAAGGATTTCAAATTTTGCCATCTTTGTAGGGTTATTATTGCATAATGTTTTCTTGAACCACACGCACATACACACACACACACACTTACCTCTCCATGTTCAGTGCTTTCCACACTCTCCCCCTCCTTTCCTTCTTTTCCTTTTTCCTTCTCTCTCTCTCTTTCTGGTTCTGTCTGGGACTCGCACTCATCTTTCTCCACCTCTTTGGCGCTCTTTTCTATCTTGTCGAGCGGAGGAGAGGGAGTGGCTGTGGGAACAGGTCACGGCAGGTAAAGTCTCAGTGTGTGTGAGATTCTCTCTGTGGGCTGCGTGTGAGAGTTTCAGGTGGGTTTGTACCTGGTTTGGAGGTGCACGGTGTGTTGTTACAGCTCAGCTCAGGGGTGGGAGTGTCTGTCTTAATGGCAGGAGAAGAGGCTCTCGAAGATTTCTTGGAGTCCACAGTGATCTCTGGCTTCAGTTCAGGCATGCTCCATTTACCGTTGATGTGCTCAAACTCTTGCACCTACACACAAAAATAGAAACCTGCCCTTTCACCTCAGTTCACCAAGAGCAAAAACTCAATCAACCATTCATGCAGTCGGTCTGTGTGTCTATCTATCCATTACAGGAATGTACATATTAACACTTAAAATGTACACATTAGCACCCAAAATGTACATATTAGCACCTAAAATGTACATATTAACACCTAAAATGAACATATTAGTACCTAAAATGTACATATTATTACCTAAAATATACATATTAACCCTTAAAATGTACATATTAGCACCCAAAGTGTACATATTAGCACCTAAAATGTACATATTAGCACCTAAAATGTACATATTAACACCTAAACTGTACATATTAGTACCTAAAATGGACATATTAGCTCATGAAATTGACAGATTAGCACCTAAAATGTACATATTACCACATAAAATGGACATATTAACACCTAAAATGAACATATTAGTACCTAAAATATACATATTATTACCTAAAATATACATATTAACCCTTAAAATGTACATATTAGCACCCAAAGTGTACATATTAGCACCTAAAATGTACATATTAGCACCTAAAATGTACATATTAACACCTAAACTGTACATATTAGTACCTAAAATGGACATATTAGCTCATGAAATTGACAGATTAGCACCTAAAATGTACATATTACCACATAAAATGGACATATTAACACCTAAAATGTACATATTACCACCTAAAATGTACCTATTAGCACATAAAATGTACATATTAACACTTAAAATTTACATATTAGTACCTAAAATATACATATTACCTCCTAAAATGTACATATTACCACCTAAAATTTACATATTAGTACCTAAAATATACATATTACCACCTAAAATGTACATATTAGCAACTAAAATGTACTTATTAGCTCATGAAATGGACAAAAGTTTAGCTTTTGAAAAGGTACAGCCCCAGTGACAACTTTTGTACCTTTTTTTCTGAAAGTGTAATATTACATATCAATGAATCAACCATTCATGCAGTCGGTCTGTGTGTCTATCTATCTATGAACTGAACCTTTTATTTTATGCTTTTCATTCATTGTTGTGAGTTATAAAAGGTTATTAAACTACAACTAATTAGTCTCAACTAGAAGACCAAGCTTGAATAAGACAGTTTTGCTTCCAAAAACAGATAAGAAACTATGAAAGCGTATTATTTTAGGGAAACACTTAAAACATGATCAGTGATGTCTGTCTGAAAGTGAGTGGCTGTAGCAGCGAGGATTCAAGCTCATCCAAGAGGGTTTTATGAAGCACCATTAAAATATCAGTATCAAGACAATATATTACCGGTCAAAAGTTTGGGGTCATTAAGATATTTTTATGTTTTTGTCATAAGTCTCTTATTCTCACCAAGGCTGCTTTTATCTAATCATAATACAGTCAGAACAGCAATACTATGAAATATTATTACAATCTTACAGTTATATTTTAAAATGTAATCTATTCCTGTAATGGAAAAGCTGTATTTTCAGCAGTCATTAGTGCAGTCTATCAATGATGAAAACCTTGATACATATTTTTATAGTTTTTTTTTAATGTTTATTTTTGCATTTATTTTTTGTAACAATGTAAAACTCTTTACTGTCACTTGTTTTGATCAACTTAATGCACTTTTGCTGAATAAAAACATGTGATGCAAGCTAAGGATAATAAGATTAGATAGATTAGCTTACTTTAATTTTGTAAGTTACCTGAATGTTTTGAGTTATTATCACTTAAAACAATCCAGCTGCTGTTTGATTGATATTACTTGGAATGGACAATAAAAAATAAAAAAATAAAAAAAGGATTGATGATTTATGAACAAAAATGGAGTTATTTGTTTTTGCAACTCTTCTGTTGTAAATGTCCCAATTGGGAGAGAGTGTGTAATTTTCAAAGAGTGTAATTAAACATGCATGTTATATACTTTGGTTGCAAATGTGAGTTAATAAAAATGTAACTGGTTGTGTAAACTTGGCACATAATATCTAAATTTTAATCGTTCGATATAGCCCTGAATCGAATTTTATCACAGAATATTTTGAGTCAATTCACATTTATTTATATAGCGCTATTTATAATACAGATTGTTTAAAATCAGCTTTACAGAGAAAACAGAAAAAAATAATGCAAAAAAGTTAGTAATTTAGTTCATTTATTTATTTATGTCATCGTCCAGTTCTTGTATAATAGTGTCAATGCAGGCAGATCAATATTATTGTTTAATATTAAATTTAATGTCCCAACTAAGCAAGCCAAGCCAATGGCGACAAAGGTGGAAAAAGGCGACAAAGGCCAGGAATGGTATTGAGATCAGTAAAAAATCGAGAGAATCGATATTTTATCGTGATGATGAACTAGTTCAAAACTGAAATATTTCCAATATTGTGATGTTTCTTCATCACCAACTCCATATTTGGTCTCTAAATTTCACACGCGTTATTTCCAGTAATAACAAAAAAAAAATAATAATAATAATTAAATTGTTAAATAAACAAGCAAATTAATGAGTTAATAATCAAAAAATATTAATAATAAAAAAATAATGAGCAAATAAATTAGCAAACTAAAAAGTCCCACGATAATATTACATATCAGTGATCTCTAACCATGGGAATAAAGTATCGTCCAACACTAGTACATAATTATATCATATATTTTAATCATCTACAGTAGTCAGCCATCACGATCCATCCACAGCTCATTAGCACTGACCTTTTTCTTAACCAGAGACATGACCCCTATACGCGTGAGAACCGGCTGCCTGCAGAGCCCCTCACGCGGGACACCGTCAGCGAACGTCTCCGAACCGTCAGCCACCGGCTCGCAGAGGTGCCTCATGAAGAGAGATACGTACGCCCTGCCAAAGAAACAAAGGAAAAAAAATAACGTTTCCTTAGCAGAAGCCAAGTCTGAAGTTTACACGTCATTCTGTCAGGGCCCTTATCGTCAAATACGATTGACCGTTAGCATACAGTTAGGATTGGCGGTATGGTTCTGTTCTGGGCAGCCTAGCATGCAACCAACAAGAATGTATTGTAAATACAGTACCATTAATTCATTTTATACCATGGTCTGGGTAAATACTCGATTCTGATTGGCTGCAGTGATAGAGGACAACTAGTAAAGGAGTTCTGGTGAAACTGACTGTTTACCGTTCGAAATTAATAAATAAATGCGCTGCCCACAACAGCTGTGAGTAACCATAGCAACAGGCAGTCAAAGTATCCGTTTACAATTTATTCAAAACAAATATCTAGTTAGCCGTTATACTATGCCTACCCGTGTATTTTAATTATAGGTTAAAAAAACGAAAGTGTAACGCCCATGGCTAGACAAAGCCTAATAATACATTCACTTTCTGGCTCGTAAGTTAGCTAAACTGAAGGGCTGAATATCGCCGGTTGCTAAATAAACTGTCAGGCGTAACCAGGGAAACCAAGATATAGTTTGTAAAAAACTTTAAATTTCGATTGTAAAACTAATTAAAAATGTGTTATTTAGCAAGGGACCATGGTATATGCGGGTTAATGCCCGACGAGGTGTCCATTGTCTAGGCATTAAAGGGATAGTTCACTTTGAAATTAATTTTTGATATGTTTTATCTTACCTCAAAGGCATCCAATATGTAGGTGTCTTTGTTTCCACAGTATTTTCAATTTTGACATTTTTAGGTCAAACCCTTCGTGTCTGTCAGTCATATAATGGAGGTCTATGGTCACCACTTCAAAGAGCATGCACAGAGAAGTCTAAATTAAACATGATTTAATGACTCGTAAATGTAAGTACACACTGATGGCCTAAGACACGAAACGAGCGGTTTGTGTGAGAAAACGAACAGTATTTATATCGTTTTTACCTCTTCTAACCACAGACACGTCCAAGTAATCTGAAGGCACGGGCGCTTCGGTCTTGCGCCAGAATTGATCTCTCGCGCGATTGCGAAAAAAATTCAACGTTGTCTGATGATATATAGAAATCGTCTTCCATTGCGATTTCATGTATATCTAAAAATGTTTAGATCTTCACAGTGAAGGGTGACACTTCCGAAATCTCTGTGTAAACAATGAGTGACGTCACACGCGAGAGATCATTTCCGGCGCTTTCCGGTGCTTGTGCAGACAGAAGCGCCCTTGGACGTGTCTGTGGTTACAAGAGGTAAAAACGATATAAATCCTGTTCGTTTTCTCACACAAACCGCTCGTTTCGTGTCTTAGGCCATCAATGTGTACTTACACTTGGACTTCTCTGTGCATGCTCTTTGAGGTGGTGACCATAGACCTCCATTATATGACTGACAGACAAGAACGGTTTGACCTAAAAATACCAAAATTGAAACTACAGCGGAAACAAAGACGCCTACATCTTGGATGCCCTTGAGCTAAGCTAAAACATATTAAAAATTAATTTCAAAGTGAACTATCCCTTTAATGGCCTCGCCGCCATCCATTAATACCTAGAAAATGGACACCTCGTCGGGCATTAACCCTTACTTAATGCACAACGTAATTAGAGAATTTTAGTCTGATGATTCAGGGGCAATCCAAATGCCAAATCCTGACAGACGAGAGGAGGAGCCGGGGATGGAGGAGCGTAATAAGCTCCTGAGAACACGATAGATGCTAATGATACTGAAGGAGCTTATATATGAATACAGTGATAGACGTCGTATTCCTATAGGTAGACGTGGATCAGCTCAGAGTCACTGATGCGAGCTTGACTAATTACATATCCCAAACACATCTACTGGAAAAGAAAGTCCTACTTGAACTCTTTCTCGCTCTTGCCGCGGAGGTCTCGCACGAGCCATTGGCAGGTGAAGGCGTCCTGAGCGGGCATCCCCCATCGCATGACGGCATTCAGGAAGGCTTTTCTCTGGCGCGTGTTAAAGCCCAATACCTGACCCAAGCACACAGACACACGATCAACCAGATTTAACATTTATGTAAATTGCTTTAATCTAATCAGACCTCATATGAAAAACAGACATGAATTTATTGCCATTATGAAACATCACTGGGCAATTCTCAAAACTGGTAAAGATTTATCTCCAGCTGTGTGTCAGTCAATTTAATTATGAGTGGCACGCATCCAGAGACGCTGTATATACTGGCCAGATAGATAAGCAAACACTGGGAAAATACACTATTATCCACATTAAACTGTGACCAATGGGTTTATGTTGATTTTACACTAAGCTCAAGGATGTCTTTATATGGCCGTTTGCAATAGTTGGGCCAAAACAAACGAACAAATAAAGAAAAACTAGACATAAACAAATAAGCCATACCTCAATGTTGCCACCCACTCTGGCCAACAGGGGTGGAAGTGGTTTATCCTTTTCGTTTCTGAGCTGCCTGCGTGACTGTCTGCGACCTGGACGGGGGGAGAGGAGAGTCAGCCAAGATATCAGTTCAACATGTCCATCTCACTGAGCCAGCATCAGGAAACAGGGTTACAGCACAGGAAGGATACATTATCCTGAACAGCTGCAATACATAAACTGTGAATATGCCTCCAGAAGAATAGCAAAACCTGAAAAAACCACACGACGTCCCAATACAGTGCCAAAAGTGATACAAATGGACAAAAAATATGTAATTAAAGTCTAATAGGTGCCAAAAGATGTGTAGGGTGGGGTGTAGTAGTTATAACTAGATTTGTACATTTGTGAGTGGAGCTTGTGTGTGCAAACTCACTGCTAGTCAGTCCAAATCCGATCACTTGTATATGCGATTGGAATCTGATCTAATATTCTTGACAGTCCAAATTGTGTATCGTATTCGCAACTGATTAGATCCGATGTGTGTGTTCATGCCGCTCCTGGAATTTCTGAGTTGGATTCGATGGCAATGGCGTTGCATTCGTAGACATACATCGCACGGGATTAAAGGAGTAGTTCACTTAAAAAAAACTTTTGCTGATAATTTACTCACCCTCCATGTCATCCAAGATGTCTTTCTTTCTTCAGTCGAAAAATAAATGAAGGTTTTTGATGAAAACATTCCAGGATTTTTCTCCATATAATGGATTTTAATGGGAACCAAACGGTTCAAGGTCCAAATGAGAGTTTCAGTGCAGCTTCAAAGCGCTTTAAACGACACCAGACGGTGAATAAGGGTCTTATCAAGCGAAACGATCGCTCATTTAAATAATAAATAAAAAATTTTAAGTTTTATAAGCACAAATTCTCCCCTTGCTCTGTTCCGTGATGAGTGTTCGTGACTCTCCTGTTCGAACTCGTTCATCAAAATGAAATTTTTTTTCGAGTCATGACTCAAAGGGTCCTAGATAAGACCCTTTTTCATCGTCTGGTGTCGTTTAAAGCCCTTTGAACCTGCACTGAAACTCTCATTTGGACCTTGAACCGTTTGGTTCCCATTGAAGTCCATTATATGGAGAAAAATCCTGGAATGTTTTCATCAAAAACCTTAATTTATTTTCGACTGAAGAAAGTAAGACGTGGACATCTTGGATGACATGGGGGTGAGTAAATTATCAGCAAAAAAGGGAACTACTCTACTACTTTAAGATCGCAGACAAACTCCGCAATTATTACAAATTTCTATAGGTCACCAGATAATACTAATCGCATGCGAATAGGGCTTTAGTTTTTGGATTGTTAGTGTTGAAGTGTTTCCATTGAGAAAATCACGTTTATATCGGATCCAGAACGATGATCATGGAGTAGATCCAGTCCATCAACAATGTGGGAATGAGTGTGTCAGTGCGGTTCTCACCCTCAGGTCTCTCGTCAAAGTCCTCATCCTCCTCCTCTGAGCCCACAGAGTATTCTGACTGGTTATCTGAAATGTCAGCATGCCACTCTGCAACAGCACATAGAAAAGAGCACGTCAGTAATGAACACTAAATCCAAACCATAGTACAGAGTGTGTTCAGCAGTGGTCAAACAATTTCCATGCACCGGATCCCTCAAAATCTAATAAATTAGTTTGGCAACTGTGAGACAGATGTGATTATTTCAGATTTGACTCTTTTGTGACTAAATGTTCTGTATCTCCAATTATCTAACCATCCACACACATTCACACTAGCCATGTTTCCATCCACTTGTCAATCGAATTATCTGAAATTCGGTGAAAAAACTCATGCGGATAAAGCTGGTGAAAGTGTGTTTCCATCCAACGGCTTTAAAGCGAATAAAAACCTGTACGTAATGACGTCACATGCTGTTTTGCGATCAAATTGGTATATCGAATTGATTTGAGACATTTTAAGGTGTTTCCATTTATTTTCGCACTGAATCGAACAACATTCAAGCAAAAACTTTTGCGAACAAAGTTTTGTTAGACAAAACGGATCGCGCCATCTACCAAAAATGATCAATATTTCACAAGTTGAAGGCTAATAATGCTTATGTGCCAGCTGATTGCGACATATGAATGGGATAATGTTTGCGAGGCGGTTGTTGTTGGTTGTATTCGCTATAACAACCGCCTCGCTATATTATCCTGCTTATTAGCCTACATATAAATCAACCAAATAAATAAATAAATCAATAATTTGACACAAAATATTGACTTAAAAACGAGTTTATTGATTTTAAAACGAGTATTGCTTCTGCTAAAGAAAATAGTCTGTTCCGTCTCTGAACTGCGTCCATGGCAACGGTGTGTTACACTAGCAGCGCCGCAGTCTGTTAACTAGAAATAACAGACCACATTCTACATTACAATTCAACCAAGCCACGTAAAAACAAGCAAAACTAACCCAAGAAAACAACGACGCTATAAACATTGCTATGATGATGACGATGCACGTATGCCCGACGACAGCGGAGGTGACTGTGGTGTGGGAGCGACAGCGCTCCATCAGTTCTGGGAGATCGTGGTTCACGGAAACCCTTTGGTTGAAGCATCTTTTTGCTTTGTCCACTTACATCTGTCTTTGTTGACATCCGCCATGTGTGCGCAAACAGACTGGCCGGAAATGAACTCGTCTTCTGACGTGTTGCAACCATAAAAGGGCATAAAACTTAATCGCAATTCATTATTTATTCGGCAAATAACGTTTCCATCAGCTTTTATCGCATTAGCCGTATATCGATCAAGAGAAAATCCGATGAGACCGAACGTATTTCATTTGAGTCGATTGTCATGAAATTTCATCGAATTTTACTGTTTCCATAAGGCATTTTTCATTCGATATCACTTAATTCGGATAAAAACGTGTCGATGGAAACATGGCTACTGTCAACGAGACTGAGCCCTACAGGGAAACAAAGGGCCGCTTAAACCAAAAAAATCACAACCCACAAAAGTCAATTAGTGAACTCTCGGATTTTAAAAAAGGCCAGTGGATTGCATTTGTAATATATTCTGCAGAGGGTATGCCACAACATTACAACCTTGCAAGTCAGGATGCTTGGATACACAAAGAAAAGTATGTGTACTTACAGTTTATCTTAGTTATCACTGTAATTACGCAGCTGTAAGCGCCACTGCGAAACCATAAATTCTATATTTCTCCTTTCTGGAGAAAACCTTCTGTTATTTGTCTTTTTCCAGACCATTTTGTTTGTCTCGTTTTGACACATAAATGAAAAGCTGCCACACTTCGGCATCCCCTGGGTGTTGTGGATGTAGCTGTTTTTGAGTCCGCTGCATGTGGCTGTTCTAACCTGACCGAAGCAGCAGTGTGTGGGATATGCTTTTTCTTTCCCACTCAATCAAAAGTAAAGTAGTAAACCACATGCCGAGAATGAAACTGCTACGAGATGTAATTTCGGAGATTTAAAAGAGGTAATATGCTGCATTTATGTGACAAGCATAAACATGGTTTATCGTAATAAAAGGCAAGAAGAATGGGCTAATTAGAACATAGTGGGGTCCAAAAGTCTGAGACCACACTGAAAATCTGGGATTTACTTTAACCCATGTCGGACATAAAATAATTTCTTAAAGGAGTAGTTCACTTTTAAAAAAAACTTTTGCTGATAATTTACTCACCCCCATGTCATCCAAGATGTCCATGTCTTTCTTTCTTCAGTCGAAAAGAAATTAAGGTTTTTGATGAAAACATTCTAGGATTTTTCTCCACATAATGGACTTCAATGGGAACCAAACGGTTCAAGGTCCAAAAGACAGTTTCAGTGCAGCTTTAAACGATTCCAGTCGATGAATAAGGGTCTTATCAAGCGAAACGATCGCTCATTTAAAAAAAAAAACAACAACAAAGTTTAAGTTTTATAAGCTCAAATGGTCGCCTTGCTCTGTTCTGTGATGAGCATTCGTGACTCTCCTGTTCGAACTCGTTCATCAAAATGAATGAATCTTTTCCCGAGTCAACTCGTTCATTTCGTTTGTTAAATGAACCAAATGACACAAATAAGATTCGTTCATTTTGATAAACGAGTTCAAACAGGAGAGTCGCACATCACAGAACAGAGCAAGACGACCATTTGAGCTTATAAAACGTAAAATTTGTCATTTTTTTTAAAAGAGCGATCGTTTTGCTTGATAAGACCCTTATTTATCGTCTGGAATCGTTTAAAGCCCTTTGAACAGTTTACAGTTTGCACTGAAACAGTCTTTTTGATCTTGAACCGTTTGGTTCCCATTGAATTCCATTATATGGAGAAAAATGCTGGAATGTTTTCATCAAAAACCATCAAAGACTGAAGAAAGAAAGACATGGACATCTTGGATGACATAAAGTTTTTTTTAAAAGTCAACAACTCCTTTAAATCAAATTAGCATGTTATCTTGTGTTCGGATGTTGTTGTTTGTGAACGCAATTGTGAACAGACTTTGGCTGAGGCGTTTCAGAATGATCAAACCAATATTTGAGATGCTGTGCGATGAAATTGGTCCACTGGTTAGTTATGAAGTCACGTACGTTTTTTTAATGTCATTAAAGGATTTGTGTATTAAAAGTGTTTCCATCATAGATTAAACGAATGTATTCTTATCAGATAAAAAGTATATCCACCTCAATAATACGTTTTTTTATCCCCATTTTTTAATTTATGTGCATCTTGGCGTTTCCATCCAGTGGTTTTGATGCGATATCCCCAAAAAAATTGCATAAAAATAGGTTGATGGAAACTTGGTTACTGTAGTAAAATGCGACATACCAAACACTAAGACATTATTGAAATTCAATCTGTAGGAAGAGATGGATTGTACCTTGGTCCTCCTGAGCTGCGTCATTGTAGTTGACCTGTTTGCGGACTCTCTTTCCTTTGCCAAGATTGCGAGCCAGATCTTCCTGCTGCTGTTCGTAGTGATGCCTCAAGAGTTTCTCCCAGTAATCAGGATCCACGTTCTCTTCCTGCTTAATGATCTCTCTCTCGATCTCTTCTATCTGGAGACACAATTCGAGAGAGATCTCCTTAATATTTTCTTTAGTTGTTTATTTAAATTTTTGGATTTGTTTCTGATGGAGACCAATAAGATTTAATGGAGAGCAAACAAAAACAAAGGGCCAGATTTCCGAACAGCTTACACCAGGGCAAACCAAACTATTGTCAGGACTTACTAAAGACCTTATTGCAAATGCATTTGTAGGAGTTTCTCTTTAAGACGCAAAATGTATGCGAGGAGAGTCTTTAAATCAATCATTTAAGGTTTGCGCAAGTCAATTCACTGGTATTGCGATATTATTTGATGTCTTAAACCAGATGCTAATTTGTGCTGCTCTTGGTAGATTGCATTGGACAGTATGGAAATTTTCTGCGGCATCAGTGTTTTTTAATTCACACATTTTTTAGAATTGTGCTCTCATGCTAATTCGCCCTGTTTAGTAAATCTGGCCCCACATGTCTGCTCTGCTCTGATTGGTCAGACGGTCCGGTCTGTTGTGTTTGGTCGACCACTTACTGCGCGTGTTGGAAACAAAATCTGAATTTCGGCGCTTAAAGGGATGCTCCACTTTTTTTGGAAATAGGCTCATTTTACCACTCCCTCAGAGTTAAACAGTTGGGTTTTACCATTTTCGAATCCATTCAGCCGATTTTCTGATATTTGGAAGAATATCAGTAACCAGACAGTTTCTGGTCTCATTGAATTCAATAGTAGGAAAAAATATACTATAGAAGTCAATGAGACCAGAAACGGTCTGTTTACTGATATTCTTCATCAGAAAATCAAAATATCATCAAAATATCAGAAAATCGGCTGAATGGATTTGAAAACAGTTTAACTGTTTAACTCTGGGGGAGTGGTAAAATGAGCCTATTTCCAAAAAAAGTGGAGTATCCCTTTAAAGGAACTGTATGTAAGATTGTGGCCAAAACTGGTACTGCAATCACTTTCAAATTACTGTAGAGCGGTGTATCGCTCACTCGAGGTTGCCAGATAGGATCCAGCACATTTTTTATCCGACATGTTTGTAGCTGCAGCTGTGGTAACTAGAGCAGAGCTGGCAACCCGGATAACGCAGCACTACTGACTTTGTGATTGGTAGATCGGTGGAGGGTGGCGCATCAGACCAAAACACAACATGACAATATCAACATCAGTTGAGGGCTACAACTTCACTTTTTAAATGACAATATCCTGGCCAGACTACTGTTTTCAGTGATATAAGTATTTGAAATGAACATGATTTCTTAAAGGATAATTCCGGTATTTAACACCTTGAGTCTATTTTGTAGTTTGTTTTGAATGAAATAGAGTGGTGGACTTAGAAAGTTTGATAATGGGTCCTGTCTCGACTTTTTGACTATTTTAGAATCGCCTGTGACAGCGTTAGACTGGGTGTCTATGGGCATGCACAAACATGTCCTTAAAACACCCCTTAACGTTCATTTTCAAAACTGTGCAACTCACCGAGTGGTTGGTGGTGTTCGTTGATGACTAAAAACAAATATATCGGCGCAGTGTATGCTTTCAATCCGTGTTGTTTGCTATTGTGGAACTATTTATTCAGATACCTCACAACCGCGTATAGACTTCCGCTCGATATTTGAGTCTGAAGCGTTAGCACACTCCCGACCACTTGATGGCGACAACCAGGACGCTGTACGGACGCACCGTAAAAAAAGTCCGGGAGCACAGTTGCTCTGCTCACGCTAGCCTTCTGAGAGACGGAGAACCGAGCCAAAAGACTACAACCAAATGTAAACAGACCCGTTTCCGTTCCCGGTAGCTAGCGCAGTAATATCAACGAGCACTGAGTCCTCCAGCAGACATCAATGCGATTTAAAAAAATGACAAATAAAACACGACAGAAACGGTATTTCGCTACGCTACTTGTTTCAGAACATCAACGAACACCACCAACCACTCGGTGAGTTGCACAGTTTTGAAAATGAACATTAAGGGTTGTTTTAAAGGACAACTCCGGCGCTAAATGAACCTTAAGTCTAATTACACATTGTTACCTAGTCAACCGTTATCTGAGATTTGTTTTCATGATTGTCGAATGTAAATAGTTTTATCTCTAAAAACAGTTTAGCCTATAACGCTAGTATAACGCTAGTATATAGGGCATAGAGTAATGACAAATAAAAATCGCTTGTTATTACCACTAAAAAGGCTCAAAATAGCCCCACAGTAACACGACAGCATAATAAGGGTCCCTACATTCAAACCGAAGCATTGAGAACTTTGTCAGTGTCCATACAGTTTAATAAGCAGATATTTTATACACACAGTCAACTTCGCGAATACAGGAAGAAGCCATCTTGGAAAAATAGTCTCGACCAGTCGATCTACGAACGCCGATCCAAGTGCGCTGGTGATATGTGAATAAGGTGATAAGGTGAGCGCGAACAGTAGGCTATGTGTACATATTGAAGAGAAGTAAACGATTTGTGTTTGTGTTTCTTCTGAAAACAACGGACCATTTGAGATTCTGCTCAGTTCAGCGCACTTGGATCGGCGTTCGTAGATCGACTGATAGGGACTATTTTTCAAAGATGGCTTCTTCCTGTATTCACGAAGTTGACTGTGTCTATAAAATATCTTCTTATTAAACTGTATGGACACTGACAAAGTTCTCAATGCTTCGGTTTGAATGTAGGGACCCTTATTATGCTGTCGTGTTGGTGTGGGGCTATTTTGAGCCTTGTTAGTGGTATTAACAAGCGATTTTTATTTGTCATTACTCTATGCCCTATATACTAGCGTTATACTAGCGTTATAGGCTAAACTGTTTTTAGAGATAAAACTATTTACATTCGGCAATCATGAAAACAAATCTCAGACAACGGTTGACTAGGTAACAATGTGTAATTAGACCAAAGGTTCATTTTGCACCGGAGTTGTCCTTTAAGGACATGTTTGTGCATGCCCATAGACACCCAGTCTAACGCTGTCACAGGCGATTCTAAAAAAGTCAAAAAGTCGACACAGGACCCAATGTCAAAATTTCTAAGTCCACACTCTATTTCATTCAAAACAAACTACAAAATAGACTCAAGGTGTTAAATACCGGAATTATCCTTTAATGTCCAGTGACATTTCAAGGCCATTTTATGATTAACTGAAATGCATTTCTTACATACGGTTCCCTGAATACACAGTGATACGAATGAAACCGTTGTTTTTTTAAGTATAGATTCCAGCATAGATACTGCTGGAAAAGGTCTCCCACCTTGTCATCTTCTCTGACATTGTATTGGGCCACCTTGAAGGAGCTCAGATACTCGTTCATGTTCTGCATGTCAGAGTCATCTGTGGCGTCCTGGCTGCGGTCTAGCAGACGCTCGATGGCGGCGTTGTCGTAGTGAATTACACTGCCGTCATCTTCCTTATTGTCCCCTGCTGAAAAAAGAAACACACAGGTGAACCTTCAGTATAACAAAGTGTTTTTTGGCCATTCAGAGCGGAGATGTTGGGCACAATCATGAGTTTTAATTTGTTGATTCGTAGGTTCATTCAATTCTACACATCAACTGATTTATCTTATCAATCCCACCCTCAATCTCATCCTTGAAAAGCTCCTCAGTGCCAAACTTGAGGATGTCGTCCAGCTCTTGCTTAGACATAGATCCGGCTTTTGAGCCCAGACCGGGCCGCACCACCAAGTGTGTGAGCATCATCTTCCTTTTGGCCACCTGAGTGATCCGTTCCTCGACCGAAGCCCGGGTCACAAAGCGGTAAATCATCACTTTATTGGCCTGACCAATGCGGTGAGCTCGACTGAAGGCCTGAGAAAAAGAGGACGACTTAGAAAACTGCTTAATAAAATATGTATGAGTTAAGAAAATAGCAGAACAAAACCGTCAAGTGAATGTCGGATTTACCTGAATGTCATTGTGGGGATTCCAGTCAGAGTCAAAGATGACGACTGTGTCCGCAGTGGCCAAGTTGATGCCCAGGCCACCCGCACGTGTAGAGAGAAGAAAACAAAACTGACACGCGCCAGGAGCTGTAAGACAGACAGAGAGAGAATTGATACAGATATTTAAAGTTATTTAGTTATTTAAAGATACACAAAAGTCAATAAATCATCAATACTTCTCCCAAAAGGTGTTTTTTTCTTACCCTGATTCACTATGGTAAGCCTATGATAAGTGTTTATATTTTAGACCCGTTCGGGATGGTTTTAGAGGGAAATTGCGTACATGCCCACAGAGAAGGATAAGGATTGTTTTGGGTTTTTTTTTACCTTTATTTAACCAGGAAATCCCATTGAGATTCAGAATACAAGAGAGACCTGGCCAAGGTAGCAGCCAAATCAAAACAAATACATACATAATAAACACCAAGTTACATTTTCATGATAAAAGAAGTTAAGAACACAAATAAGTTAAGTTAAGAACACAATGATTCTCAAGAAAAACAAGAACAGTAGTTTTAAATTCATTAATGGACATGAGGGTTTCTAACTTTAGCTCTTTTTGTAGATTATTCCACCCCCAAGGTGCTAAATAAGAGAAAGCAGTTCTTCCCAATTCGGTTTCAACTCGTGGCACGTTAAAAAGCAACCACTTCGAGGAGCGTAGCTGATAGGTACCAGAGCAGACAGAGAGGAGGTTACAGAGAATAGTTGAAATAATGTTGTTATTTTTGTTTTGTTTTTGCGCACAAAAAGTGTTCTCGCCGTTTGATAAACTTAAGATTGAGCCACTGTAGTCACTCGGACTATTTTAACGATGTCTTTAATAACTTTTTGAGGCCGGCAAGTTTCAATCCCTCAAGAAGCCTATGAACTAGTATGGTGGAGTGATCCAGCTCTCAGATTTCATCAAAACTATCTTAATTCGTGTTCTGAAGATGAGTAAATACTGAAAAAATTTTCATTTTTGGGTGAACTAACCCTAGAACTAACTAACTAGACCCGCAGAAGCCCTGTTTCAGACAAAATCAAATTAACTTCATACATATATTCTTATTTTATGTTATTGTAATTATTTTGTTTCATCACCTGAACTCACCACAGGATCCCTGCTGTAGCTAATTCTCTAGCTGTATCCAAAATATTCTCAACATGTATGTATGGTTACCGTTGAATCTGTCGATGGCTTCCTGCCGGAGGGCTCCAGTAACGCCTCCATCAATTCGCTCATATTTATAACCCTCATAATCCAAGAAATCCTCCAGCAAATCCAGCATCTTGGTCATCTAAGGAGGAAACAGAGTGTGTAAGTATGATCCAATCAAAATGTTCAGATCCAAGTGGCTACCGTGGGCTCCATATTAGAAACACAAAGCTGTATACAATTTGAATAAAAAATAAAACATGGTAAATACATTTTAAAAAACAATATTTTTGAGTATTTTAAACATTTCTAGAGTTTCCGCTGTGCACCACCTGGGGGCACTAAACATACCACAATTTGATAGTCCATGCAAATACAGCAGCTTCTTATGTGGCATTTGTAATGCCTGGTACACATTGTACAAGTTTGGGCTGTCAGACGGAAGTTGACCGGAGTCATGGCCCCTAAACGGTGATTCTATGCCGTAGGACTGAGAGAGGTTCAAAGACGGCTGATGTCAAGGTATTGCGACCAAAGATACAGTAGCATGCAATAATTTTCTGACAGTGTCAGAACTTTAAAATGATCATCTCAACGTCTACTGACTAGCCAAGACTTGAGACAGTAAAACTCAAATTTATCTACCTCAAACTCTATTTACAAAATTTGCAAGTCAAATTGGCCTCTTTTGCTTAGATATGACCGTGTCCATATTCTCACATAAAAACTAGAGCCAGACCGATATATCAGCAGGCCGATATTAGGCATTTTCCAAACTATCAGTGTCGGCAGTTATAATGGCCGATAAATGAATATTTCAAAAATAAAATAAAAACGGACGAAACACGCTTGAACCATGTGATGAGTGTTGGAGTTGTATAGTTTGTCCACCAGAGGGCACTCTACACCGTTCCTGTTGGCAACACTCGTTGAGTTGGTCACGATACATACATTGCTTGAATAACAATCCTCATCAGTTCTCTTAACTCAAATAAGCATGACAAAATTTGTGGCCGGCGGAAATTTCCTTGGCCAGTTACATTGAAAATGTATGCTTTACAATTTGCAGTATGACGTTATCCATTGCTAAATTATGGTTCATCATAGACTAGCTAACCATAAAGCTAGCTAATGCCACTATAATCAGTCTGTTCTGTTGTGACAATAAAAGAAACTTTTAGAAAGTTTCTTTTTAAAATGCATTATCATATTATTTTGGTTAAAACTCATAAATATCTACAAATAACTAATGTTAGGGCAATCTGTTAATGTTTTATTGCGCCTTTCTGAAATAGAAAATAAAAAAAATATCGGCCGATATATCGGCATATCGGATTTTAAAACCAAAAAATATTTTTTATAGGCCTTCAAAATCCTTTATCGGTCGGGCTCTAATAAAAACCACAACAGCCAAAGTGTGATTCATCTCGCTCTGTTCGTTTGTTGATGATGACGTTTTATTCTTCTATACTAACTTGAGTCGTTGCCTACGATTTGATAGGTGTCATCCTCATATAGTCTGCATACATGTTGTCCCAAGTTTATTATATCCATGTCTTACAGTGTGATCTGTTGATCTTATAGGATTGCCCACATCACACACGTAACAGGCACTGTGAATGATGTGTATTTATAGCGTGCGTTTGTACCTGAGAAAACACCAGCACTCGGTGGCCTTGTTCTTTCAGTTTTCTGAGCATTTTCTGCAGCAGCGTGAGTTTCCCAGAGGCCTTTGTGAGGCCGACACCTTCATACGCTCCACTTGGTGTTTTGGGAGCTTCCTGCAACACACAAACACAACAAAACAGCCTATGATACATATATGCTCAACAAAAACCCTGAAAAACAGTAAACACAACATTTTAACAGCATTTTAACCAATTGACAGCAGGTGGCAGTATTTCAAGATAGGTTCAAAAGAGACATTACCACTTCCTTTAAATTTGGACTTCAAATGGAGAACAGAAAAACTGAGTTCGGAGTGAATAAACTGATTTTAATGGCCAAATATTTCATACATAAATGTCGATTTCTTAAAACATCCCCTGTTTTTAATGCCTTTCTAAATGATATAATTCTGTATAAACAATCCCTGAAATGCTGTAAAACAAAAAAATCCCTAATTTATCATGAATACTTATGCAAACTTATTTCCTAGTGTCTACTGCTGAGTCTCTTGGTTTCTTTTTTATTTAGTTTTATTATTATTTAGTTATTTTTTATTATTGCTATTTTTTTTCTTTTACAATGTTGTACTCCATGTTCAATTCATGTTGTAAGATGGTTGTGTTGTGCCTTGTTGTATGTTTGATAAAAGATTCAATAAAACATTTTAAAAAAAATAAATAAAAAAAAACATTACCACTTCCTTGTTTTTAAGAAATTGTGGTCTACAAATTTTTAAGAATAAATATGTAATTTCTAATAAAGTCAAAGAAACTCTCTTTAAAATAATAAACAGATACTATCCATGTAATAATTTCATTAGTAAATTTAAAGAAGGGTTTTAACCATTTTGCAGTTTCTGTAAAGAAGAAAATAAAACAATTGTCCACTTATTTTTCAGTTGTAATTATACTAATTTATTTTGGTCCCCCAAGTTTCTTGGTTTCGTTTTGCGTTATTTTATAAATATGGATTGTGTTTCTGGTTTATTGGAAATGGATAATATAATTAAACTTCTCATTCTATTTGGAAAATATCAATACATAAAGCAAAATGTATATCGACTGTACCAAATGTTAGACTATTTTCCACTGATCTGAAGATTTTTTATTTTTATTTTTTAATCAAAAATCTCTAAATACATCAAAACTGTTGAAAAAGGATACTTAATGTATTAGAAACATGATTGATATGTGATATAAGAAGCAGAAGCATTGTGATCTTTTTGTTTTACGGATTCAAATGTCTCTGTAATCCCCTGTACTGTTATCTAAAAAAAAAAAATATATAAATAAAAATAATTTTTAAAAAAAGGTCCAAAAAAGCCAAAAACCTATCCAAATGTTCTGTCAGAAATACAGTGTGTGTTCTTACGGCGGAAGCGACGGGGAAGAGGTAGGGGTGGTTGCAGCACTTTTTTAGGTCCATCATAATGTTGAGCAGAGACACCTGGTTCCCTCCTCCCTTCGAATTCAGCGCTTCAAAGTTACGCGTCAGAATGAACTTGTAGTACTTTCTGTTCACACACAGGGTACGCATAGAAACATATGAAAAACTCTCCTCCTCCATATAACACTATATATCGACTATTTCTCTTTTTGTTTTGAATGTTTTAAGCTGGCATGCATAATAAGAAACATACATATGAACTGATTTCACTACTTTAGCTAATTATCTTGCGATGTATGAATAAATTCGGCATGCAAACGCATATTGATGTTGTGGGTCTCACTTCTGCATGGGGCTGAGCTCCACTCGGACGATCAGCTCAGTTTTGGCTGGCATGTTCTTAAACACGTCAGCTTTGAGTCTCCGGAGCATGTGTGGCCCGAGCAGGTCGTGCAGTTTCTTGATCTGGTCCTCTTTAGAGATGTCCGCAAATTCCTCTAGAAAACCCTCTAGATTGCTGAGCGACAGAAATAATTGAGATTTAGAGTCGTGTTGATGCAGTGTGTACATACAGTGGACCCCAAAAAAATATCTGGACACTTCAGAGAAACTAAAAAAAGGATATCATTGCATGTTTTACTGTCCAAATACTTTGTTGGGCCACTTTTACAGTCTAGAGTGGTGCTTTTGTTTGTTTTGTGGTACTTGAAGCGGTTGGGCGTCAGGAAGTTGAGCAGGTGGAAAAGTTCTTCCAGGTTATTCTGGAGTGGCGTTCCCGTTAGCAGCAGCTTGTGGTCTATCTTGTAGTCATTCAGTCTCCTGAAGAACTAACACACCACCACAAAAGACTTCAGTTAATAACACACACACACTTCTCTCAACTGGAAACATACAAGGTGCATCACTAATAATTTAGTATGAAACCAAGATAAGCACAACTTGCCCATGACAAAATATTTTACATCTCTGTACAAAAGTGTACAAACAGGAGAAGAATTAGTATGAATTTGTTTTTCTTAATGCATTTTTTGTATGTGTAGATAATCCACAATGTATATTTACTACCGTTCAAAAGTTAATTAATTAATACTGTTAACGATTTTCGTAACGATTTTTTTGTAACGATTTTCACATTGTTACAAAAACGTCCTATTTAACGTCCAATTTAAAGGGGCTATATGTAAGAAATTTCATCGCTTTGTTATTGCAAATGTGTAAACAGCTTGTAATAAAAGACCTTCCACTCTTTCCTAGGTTGTCTATGAAAGCCTGTAGGCTGATTTTTATGTGAAGGACTCGGGATGAAAATCATAAGGATGTGACGTTTACGCGAGTGCCTTCTTCCGTTCAATGACACATGAAGCGAATGCTTACCGTATACAATGTTCAGAATAATGCTGAAAGAGACATTCTGTATAGTAATATCAAATGTGTCATGCAAAGAAAGTCTCACATAGCCAGATCTATATAATCAAACTATCATAACAATGTCATTTTAATGACCTCACCTGTCGAAATGATGCCGGTGAATTGCAGAGCATATCAAAAACTATATTAACTGCCTTTTCTCACAACTGTAATTTTTGTTGTGTTATTTTGTTATTGGGAGAAAAGTGAGCAGCACATATATGCATATTCATCTAACGTCGTTCTCAGCAGCGTCTGGATTTTCGTTAACAGTATATCACAGCAAAGGTATTTCCAACTTCTTTTTACTTCTAAGCAAAGAACAAAAAAGAACTTCGCCGTGAGTATATCAGGGCCTTGAATCACATTTAATACGTTTGTTACGTTACGTGTGCGCGAGTGTGAGCACGAGAAATGACTGCAGTTCACTTAATGGCCACCGGTGTCGCTAATAACTAGGGATTCAGAATTCTACATATAGCCTCTTTAAAATAAATGCTTAGTTGAATTTCTATTCATCAAATAACAATGAAAAAAAGTATATCATGACTTACACAAAAATATAAGCTGCACTGTTTCAACATTGAGAAATTTTACTAGAGCAACAAATTAAAATGATTGCTGAAAGATCATGTGACACTGGAAATATAGTTTTGCCAACACAGAAATACATTTAAATCATTTGTTAATTAAGTTACTTGCACACACACAATGATTAGTAAAAAAAGCTAAATAACAAATCTGATATTCATATTTTTGTTCCTTCTATGATTTTATTTAACTTCAATAATGACTTGCTGAATGAAAATGCGTACTGGCTTTATTATGACCGTTTATAAAGGCGCCGGTTTATTTCTGTCATTCTCAATCTGCTGTGTTGAAAAGAATCCAAAAAGTAATTTCCTTTCCTGTATTAAATTAGAAAATCAAATCTCCCAAACTCTCTCTCGCTCTCTGTCACAAACACACACACACAAACCAAATAAATCCAGGACAGAAAATGGGAAAAACCCATAAAGAGAGTATACCTTGGACTGGTTGTTTTTGAGACGGTGGGCTTCATCCACTACAAGACAGGCCCAGTCAATGGACTTGAGAACGTTCTGGTCTATAGTCACAAGCTCATAGGACGTCAACAACACATGGAACTTAATGGGAGCTTCTCTCTGGAGGAAAGTGAAGAGAATGGTTACAGTAAATGTTTCTTCTTACATAAACAAATGACATCCTTTCTCTCCATACTATGGCTACTCTCCTTTAACCATTGATCTTCTTTTCATTTTCCTCCTCACACTGTCCATCTTTGCATTTCACCTTTCCAATCACCAACAAATGTGTTTTTTCCACCGCTCATCTCCTCACCCGTAATTTGAAGGCTTTCTTTCCTCGATTCACCGCTGTGTCGTCAAAAGTGAACTCGTTCTCGCGGATGATGGCCCTGCTGTCCTTGTCTCCGGTGTAGGTGACGACATAGAAGTCGGGAGCCCACATCTCAAACTCCCTCTCCCAGTTAATGATTGTGGAGAGCGGTGCGCTCACCAGGAATGGCCCTTTAGTGTGACCCTGGTGAAAGGAATAAACCCAGTGATAAGGAAGAACGGACAGAGAGAAACAGGATGGGAGGGAGAAAATTGTGTGAAATTCAAGAGTTTATTCGTCATTTAACATAGACTTTTTTGACCTGACCCACACAGACCTCTTTAAACAGTGAGTAGAGGAAGACAATAGTCTGGATGGTCTTGCCCAAGCCCATTTCGTCAGCCAGGATGGTGTCGGTGCCCTGAGCCCAGGAGAAGCGCAGCCAGTTCAGCCCCTCCAGCTGGTAGAGGTGCAGCGTCCCTCCTGTCTCTGTCACGAAGTCTGGCTGCTCTTCATACTTGATTGTGGGCTGAAAGAAGAGAGATATGCAGAGAAGTGGTGAGAAAAGATAGAAAGAAGGGTGGTCCTGCATGCCCCAAAAGGACTTTGTGCTAGAAAGCAGATTTGACAAAATAATAACATCAGCCGTGTGTTTCTGTATTTGGTTGAGTTGTGAGTATTTGGGGTGTGTTTCTGTATTTGGTTGAGTTGTGAGTATTTGGGGTGTGTTTCTGTATTTGGTTGAGTTGTGAGTATTTGGGGTGTGTTTCTGTATTTGGTTGAGTTGTGAGTATTTGCGGTGTGTTTCTGTATTTGGTTGAGTTGTGAGTATTTGCGGTGTGTTTCTGTATTTGGTTGAGTCGTGAGTATTTGCGGTGTGTTTCTGTATTTGGTTGAGTCGTGAGTATTTGGGGTGTGTTTCTGTATTTGGTTGAGTTGTGAGTATTTGCGGTGTGTTTCTGTATTTGGTTGAGTTGTGGGTATTTGTGATGTGTTTCTGTATTCGGTTGAGTCGTGAGTATTTGGGGTGTGTTTCTGTATTTGGTTGAGTCGTGAGTATTTGGGGTGTGTTTCTGTATTTGGTTGAGTTGTGAGTATTTGGGGTGTGTTTCTGTATTTGGTAGAGTTGTGAGTATTTGGGGTGTGTTTCTGTATTTGGTTGAGTTGTGAGTATTTGGGGTGTGTTTCTGTATTTGGTTGAGTCGTGAGTATTTGGGGTGTGTTTCTGTATTCGGTTGAGTTGTGAGTATTTGCGGCGTGTTTCTGTATTTGGTTGAGTCGTGAGTATTTGGGGTGTGTTTCTGTATTTGGTTGAGTTGTGAGGATTTGCGGTGTGTTTCTGTATTTGGTTGAGTCGTGAGTATTTGGGGTGTGTTTCTGTATTTAGTTGTGAGTATTTGTGGTGTGTTTCTGTATTTGGTTGAGTTGAGAGTATTTGCGGTGTGTTTCTGTATTTGGTTGAGTTGAGAGTATTTGGGGTGTGTTTCTATGTTCGGTTGAGTTGTGAGTATTTGAGGCGGGTTTCTTTAATTGGTGTAGTTTAGAGTATTTGCAGTGTGTTTCTGTATTTGTTGTATTGTATGTGTTTCTGACACTAACATCATTAACAGGCGTGCTTGGAGCTTCATCATTCTCCTCTCTCCTCCTCATCCTCCTTGGCTTCTCTGGGTCTTCCTTCATCACTTCCTCTCTGTGAGGAAAAAATAGAACACTGCTTGTTCCATATTCAAAATATAATAAACAAAATTTTAAAAAATGATTTAAATGAGGTTACAATGCAGATGTAGGACATTAAAAGCAAACAAGTCCATCTTTATAGTGAATAAGGATCATCCACATTTTACTAAAATTCTGAATTTGTGTTCCACTGAAGTGCAAGCATGAGAAATAAGTTGCAGGCTGCAGTTCATTTAACGGCCACCGGAGTCGGTTTCTGAATTCTACATATAGCCCCTTTAAATAACAGACTTTTAATTTCTGCGTAAACTATCCAATGAAAAATCAAACCCTTGTGACAGTTTGCTCAAACATCTATGTTTGACTGCACCTGTGTCTCCAGTACGCCGTTTTGTGTCCACTAAACTCCGGGATGTCCAGCTCATCTCTCTCCCAGGTGCACTGGTCATAGGTCAGATCTCTCCATTTAACCAGGTAGTGGTAGTTGCTCTTTTTATCGATGCTGTGCACACACACATACACACACACTTTAATCGTCTGACAGTACAAAGTATTGGCATATACAGTATAATATAGTAGTTTGACACAAAAATCACACACCTATGATTGATTATCCTGTGAACAATCATCCATTCTGGCTTGATGCCATATCGATAGTACTTCTCTTCCAGAATGGCATATTGAGGGTCTTTGGCCCTCCGCTTTTCACTCTTCCCAGAATCCTCCTCTCCCCCAGAGCCGTAGTCCAGACTAGGCGGCTCGTCCATATCCGTTTTCCTCTGGTAGTTGCGGAACATCACAGAGTGGAAGATCTCGAGCTGAGGATGGACAGATGGATAAGAGAAAATCTGTACATCGCATAAAAGTTATCTCTGTCTCACACACACTTCTGTCTCACTCTCACACCTGTAGCTCTGTGATCCAGGTGCAGTGCCAGTACGACTGTCCCGTTAGCTTCACAAAGAACTCTCTCTCTGGACGACCCTTCATGGGCGGAGGGGGCGGGGCATCGGGGGGCGCGTCTGGGGGTGGAGGGACAGGAACTGGGGGTGGGGGATCACCCCATCGCCAGTGCAGAATCTTTTGCACTCGCCCTTTGATTGGTGGACACTGAAAAACAGACAACAGAAGTTAACAGCCGATTGTGTTACAAATTTCTGATTGACTGAATTTGTGATGTTTTAAATATAAATTAAAATCACAAGCTTGTCTTCCTTCCCTTAGTATAAGTTAAACTCAATAACCTAATAAATGCCTCTATCCACAGCACAAATTAACCACAATAATCAATATCTATCTATTTTAAGCACAATTCAACTCAGCTAAACACATCTCAGTTAACACACCTCTGTTTAAGTATTTACTTCTCTTTGTATACTGTTATTGTACGTATTAAGAATACATAAAATGCTAGATTTATATACTGTGTCAAAGCTGAATTTTCAGTATCATTACTTTAGCCTTCAGTGTCACATGAACCTTCAGAAATCAGTTATTATCTAATATGCTCAAGAAACTTTTTTATTATTATCATTCATTTTGTTGCTGAATATTTCTGTGGAAACTAAGACATTTTTCATCAGGATTCTTTGATTAAAAGAAAGTTCATAAATAAAAGTATAAACATTTTTGTACTGACTTCATATATATTTCACATAAACTAACAAAATTACAGCTTAAAAATGACAAAAATATTCTGTTCACGAGAGATATTTACCTTGAATTTCTTTCTTTTCTTCACACATCACATGTCTCATATTTCATCTCAAGCATGCTCTTCACTGACACTGTTGTCTCCATGGTAAGCAAGTATAATAACTTTTGGAAAAAACTTAATTAGGAGTCTTAAAATAGTTTGTTGTGGTGTCTCAACAACTACGGGACATCCCGTAGTAAGTCATTTTTCCACATTAAACAATGAAAGGGTTAACTGCCACAGTTTTAGTTCATAGTTTAAGGTTTAATGTTTGGGTCAGAGAAAAAAACTGCATAAAGAGCAACAAAAAAATCAGCATACTATATCAATGATGAAGTTATTATAAAAAGTTTTCAAGACAATTTCAATACAACAAAAAGAAGTATTTATTAAGCCATTGGAGATAAAATTGCCAGTCGTTGAAGAACCACGTGTGTAGTGGCATTACTCACAGTGCAGCGTGGACAGAGCCACTCTCCGTTGGGGATCTCGGGCAGTGGGGGGTTCAGGCAGTGGATGTGATAGGACGACGGGCAGGAGTCACAGCACAGCAGCTCTCCTCCATCTTTACACACGCGACAGAACTCCATGTGATCATCCTCCTCTTCCTCTCCTCCCAGCCCTGCCTCCACATCCCGGACATCGTCACACTCCTCTTCAAAGTCCTCAAAGTCTTCTTCCTTTGCTTCCCACTGGATCCCTTCTTTCTCCTGAAAGATGTAGAATTTGATTACAACCCTAGTGAGCAAAATCTACACCAAAATGTATTTATGTAAATACATTTATTTCATACTAAGTATGCAACAAATACATTAAAATATTTACTGGCATATCGCTTGAGACTTACTGATATAAAGATTATAATTAACCCTCTGATGGTCCTCGGTCAATAATTTTCTGTTTTGAATTATTAAAAATCACAGCTTCATCGGAAGGTTATGATACTTGGTGACTTTTTTGGCATTTGGTATGTGAATACAAAATAAATTGAGGTCATGATCCGAGCATGCTAAGTGGTCGTAAAAAAAATAGTCACACTCATGGTCTTCGGTCAGAAATGACCGACCCATAGGAAATGAATGGGAAATTTACAAAAAAAACTAAAATTTACAGAATTTTTGTTTGTACAATCTACAAATCGGCCACGATTCTTAAAAGAAGTATACTGCAGTAAAGGGGTGACACTCTACAACATCAAGAGTGCAAAAAATGTACACACACACATACAAACACACTTTTATACACATACACACCAATAAATTCAGACTACAAAAAATCTGTTTTGAATTATTAAAAATCACAGCTTCATCAGAATGTTACAAAACTTGGTGACATTTCTGGCATTATGTATGTGAAAACACAAAAAAAAATTAGTTCATGATCCGAGAATGCTAAGTGGTCGTAAAAAAATTAGTGGTGATTTTGGTCTTTGGTCAAAAATGACCCCCATAGGAAATGAATGGGAAATTGACAAAAACACAAAATTTCACATTTTTTTATTTATTTTTTTACAAATTTTTTTTAATAAGAAATAGTTTTTGAGATTGTTTCAATTATATATTCAAATCCACCAAAAAAAAAAAAATTGTTCATAAACAGCTGGGGAATTCACATGCCTCTCCATTGAGAGCTGTACATGCCATCTAGTGGTTACACCATGATTCTACACTTTTTCTCTATACTGTAACCAGAAGGTGCTAATTTTCTTAAAAAAAAAAAATTTTCTGAAGGCCTAGACTCTATATTAAACAAAAATACTGCATTGATACTTTTTATATATATATATATATATATATATATATATATATATATATATATATATTTACATAGAAAAAATAGACCATAAAAACATCAAACATCAAATTGTCTCAAAATACTAAATTGAAAAGAATAAATATTATAGAACAAAAATAAATTGCATTGGTTTTACTGGGATGGAAGAAGTTTCATTTTTAGGCCTCCGGTCACTTCTGACCGGGAAGGCCCAGGACGTGACTCATAAAGGAAGACCATCAGAGGGTTAAACTATACTTTACTTTGCACATGTCTTAATATTAAGACTAAAATGTCTTTTAATATCTATATAAGTAAGGCTAGTATGATCTCTGTATAATACCAGTCTTTAAATGCTGCTCTCTAAAAAGTGTACTTAAAGTATACTTGCAATAGTTCCACTTTAGCACCATCAAATATTTCTTTAGATGAACCTCAGCACTATTTTTGGATAAAGTGCATTTAGTACAAAATTAGGATACCAAAAGTACAATTGTAGGGGATTTATATTAAGTACATAAGTAAATGTATTTGTAGTGTACTACAGAGAGGAATAACAAACTAATCATACTGTATATGATGAAGGCTTGTTGATGATCTGCTCTTATAGAAATGTGGGAGATATATCAGACGATGTCCTTCAGTTTGAAATGGATGTGTGATTCTGTAGGTTTGGGTTGATGTGACTCACACAGTGAGGGCAGCTCCACTTGCCCTCGGGCGCTTTCTCCAGCTCAGGCTCGAGGCACACCAGGTGGTACGCTCGAGGACAGGTATCACACAGGATGATCTCTCCCCCCTGCTGACACACCTCGCAGTAGTCCTGATGATCAGTCTCATAGCCATCGCCATCCTCATCACCCAGCACTGAGAAAGAAAGAGAGCGATACGAGCATAAGCAAGCATAATGTCTACTTTCAATTTTTAGCCATTATCGGTGTGAATCCAAACCACAATGGGTGATTATCATTGTTTACTTACCCACAATTCTATGGTAATGAACTAAGAGACCTATATTGAGACTGGGGGGGAGGGGAGTGCGATATGATGAAAATCTTATTTCATGATATAACAAATTTTATTTCACAATACTAGTTATATATCATGCGTCAGTCAGCATGAGTACGCCACTTTTTCTCATGCACGTCCCAGTCTTTATTTTTTTCATTCACGCATATTTCTTTATCACTCTAACGTGTGAATAACTTTAAAGGAGTAGTTCACTTTTAAAAACAAATTTTGCTGATAATTTACTCACCCCAATGTCAACCAAGATATCCATGTCATTCTTTCTTCAGTCGAAAAGAAATTAAGGTTTTTGATGAAAACATTTCAGGATTTTCTCCATATAATGGACTTCAATGGGGACCAAACGGTTCAAGGTCCAAAAGACAGTTTCAGTACAAACTGTTCAAAGGGCTTTAAACAACACCAGATGATGAATAAGGGTCTTATCAAGCGAAATTAGCCGTCATTTCAAAATTAAAATTAAGTTTTATAAGCACAAATACTCACCTTGCTCTGTTCTGTGACGAGCGTTCATGACTCTCCTGTTAAAACTCGTTGATCAAAATGAACAAATCTTTTTTCGAGTCATGACTCGAAGGGTCCTTGATAAGACCCTTATTCATCGTATGGTGTCGTTTAAAGCCCTTTGAAGCTGCACTGAAACTCTCATTTGGACCTTGAACCGTTTGGTTCCCATTGAAGTCCATTATATGGAGAAAAATCCTGGAATGTTTTCATCAAAAACCTTAATTTCTTTTCGACTGAAGAAAGAAAGACGTGGATATCTTGAATGACATGGGGGTGAGTAAATTATCAGCAAAAGTTTTTTTTAAAAGTGAACTTCTAGTACTGTGCTGCGTGGATAAATTTACATACTGCAACATACAGCAAAAATTTTAATTACAGTGAAATATTTGTAATAATTTTGGGGCACAAGGATGAGGAATGATTATAATTTGTATGAAAAGCAACAACAAAACATAAGGATTTTTTTCTTTTTCATTTATTTATTAATTCAGAGAGTTAAACAGACGCATTGTTTTTAAAGACAGATCCAATACAAAGATGGGGGGGTTTGGAGAAGAGACTCACCCTTTTTCTTCTTCTTCGCCGGACGACCCCTTTTGTTCTTCTTGACCCTTCCCGAGCTGTCAGATCGGACCGAAGAGCTATGAACGCTGGAGTTCTCCTGCTCAGAGTCGTCCTCATCCACCTCCTCACTCTGCATTACACACACAATCAAAAACAAGCACTGCACCCAACACACATTCTCACTCAACGCCTGCGATATGTTATGGCGCCGTTTTATACATAAACAATATTTATATTTAATATTTATATATAAACAATATGAATGTAAGCCAGAGGAGAACTGGCCCCCGACTGAGCCTGGGTTCTCCCAAGGTTTTTTCTCCATCCAATCTGATGGAGTTTTGGTTCCTTGCTTTTGGCTTGCTTAGTTGGGGTTATTTAATATTTAATATTTAACAATATTATTGATCTGTGTTGTACTACTTTCATGTTATCACTGTGAAGCTGCTTTGATACAATCTGTATTGTGAAAAGCGCTATATAAATAAATGTGACTTGACTTGACATTCACAGGGATATGCATTGCACACAAACTCTCACCGAACTGCTCTTCTTCCTCTTGTTACCAAGTGGTCCCAGTTTAATGCGCAGAGGGGCCATTTTCTTGGGTTTTGGCTTCTTCTTGTCTGAGACACGAGGACTCTTACTGCGTTTCTTGTAGCCAGGGCCTGCCGATAACCAATCAATGGGCAATATTTCAAATTAGATAGCATTTTGTCTGGATAAAAAAAAAAGAATACGCTAAAAAACAAAAAAAATATGTATTTTTATAAGGTGCAGTATAAAAGAGTAATATTAATTTGCTATAAAATCTGCAATTAAATTAAATGTTAAATATTAAATCAGTGTTTTATAAGTGCCTCTATTATGCTTTTTTTAATATTACCTTTCATGCAGTGTAATATAGATGTTTGTAAACGTAAAAGGCCTGCAAAGTTTTAAAGATCAAAGTGCACGAAAAATAAAGTTATCGTCTCCTAAAATAATTGATTCTGAACTGATAAAATGAGTCGTCAGTAATTCCAGTCTCACTTCCTGTTACAAACCTACGTAACAATGTGACACATTTGCATAATGCCAGTCTATGGTGTTCATTGGCTGTCCGTGAACAACATCGACTTTGACCCTTTAACACTGTAGTTGTAGCTGAGACTGGAAGAGTTTGGCTCGTGTTGTTCATGTCGAGAAGACGCTGTTTTCAACAATTGATTCGGAAAAAATGACACCATCGTTACTGTTCGTATGAATACAAGTGCTATGGAAGCCTTCAGAGCTGAAATTCAGATATGGTAATGGATGTTTGGTTTCCAACACGCGCAGTAAGCGGTCAACCAATCACAACAGACTGGACTGTCTGACCAATCAGGCTTTCAGAAAGGACGGGTTTAGAAAAACTGAATCTTTGAGAAATGAGGAGATGTGCAATGAGAAAATTAAACATTTTTTTGACCTTGAATGCATGAAAATCAATTGTAGGAGACCTCTATAACAAAATTAGGAACCTTTAAATTAGAATATTAGGGGCACTTTAAAAGGATAGTTCACATTGAAATTAATTTTTGGTATGTTTTATCTTACCTCAAGGGCATCCAAGATGTAGGTGTCTTTGTTTCCACAGTATTTTCAATTTTGACATTTTTCAGTCAAACCGTTGTTGTCTATCAGTCATATAATGGAGGTCTATGGTCACCACCTCAAAGAGCATGTACAGAGAAGTCCAAATTAAACATGATTTAATGACTCGTAAATGTAAGTACACACTGATGGCCTAAGACACGAAATGAGCGGTTTGTGTGAGAAAACTAACGGTATTTATATTGTTTTTACCTCTTGTAACCACAGCCATGACAAAATGATCTGACGGCACGGGTGCTTCGATCTGCGCATGTGCCGGAAGTGATCGCTTGCACGCCTACGTCACTCTTTGTTTATACAGAGATTTCGGAAGTTTTACCTTTCACTAAACATATTTAGATATACGGGAAACCACAATGGAAGACGATTTCGGTATATCTAAATATGTTTAGTAAAAGGTAAAACTTCCGAAATCCCTGTGTAAATATTGAGTGACGGCACACACAAGCGATCACTTCCGGCGTAACATTGAACTGATTCAGTTCGGTTCAGTTGGACATTGCACAACTGATTCAGATCACTTGGATTACACAAGGTAAAAACGATATAAATACTGTTCGTTTTCTCACAAAAAAACGTTTCGTTTCGTGTCTTAGGCCATCAATGTGTACATACATTTACGAGTCATTAAATCATGTTCAATTTTGACTTCTCTGTGCATGCTCTTTGAGGTGGTGACCATAGACCTCCATTATATGACTGACAGACAACAACGGTTTGACTGAAAAATGTCAAAATTGAAAATACTTTGGAAACAAAGACACCTACATCTTGGATGCCCTTGAGGTAAGCTAAAACATATCAAAAATTAATTTCAAAGTGAACTATCCCTTTAAATTAGCATAATAGGGGCACTTTAAGTGGCTGCTGAGATGACGATGAACGTTAAATAGACGTTTTATAATTTTTAAGACATTGCTATCAATCCTCCAAACCAGAAATTTTTAATGCTGTGTGTTTACATTACCAAAACCTGTACTGAAACCAATAAAGCCCTTACCTTTGCCCTCTTTGGTCTTGGCCTTGCGAAGTGGTGGTGGCTGCGGTGGGGGTTCAGGTGAGGCTGATGCTGCCGAGACCTGCTCAGCAACGGCTAACGCGGCGGCGGCGGCTACGGCAGCGACGGCTGCGGCCGAGCCTTTGAACGGATTATTGGAGCTGAACTCACGCCATTTGGCCCCCAGAATGGTCATCATCTTGGACATGGGGATTTTAGGGTTCTTCTTAGCAATCATGGGTCTGCAGACGATATAATATGTTTAATACAGAAATGTTGCTGCAGAGGAACTGCAATGTGTGAAAGCGCTGGTTCAAGTCAGTACCTCATGAACTGGCTGAAGGCCTTGTAGTTGGTTAGCGTGCGGTAATCTTCTTCCGTGAATGTGTGATCGACATCTTCAAGCCCCCACTCTCTAGCCAGCTGGGCTGATGTTTTCATCTCCACCGGCTGGAAGAGAGGCTTCATCATATGGCTGTTGCAGTGTGGATGGGTAATAAACATCTGGAAACATCTGGACTAGCTGGATCAGTAATTATGTGTGTACAGCGGCCATGCAACAGTTAGAAACACATGTCACAGTTTGTGCGTGTCATTCTTTCATAATTTCTGGATGCAAGTGCGAGAATGACCTCTGATGATGTGCTTGCATAAGGCCGTGTGTCCACCAAAGCGTTTTTCCACGCACCTGGCGTATGTTTTCAATTGTTTTCAATGGGAGCGCTGCGTTTTTTAAACGCCATGAGCGTGACGAGTCGCTGAGTGTTTTATTCAAGCTGAAGCGCCGAGCGCCTGGCGTTTTATAGTGGTCGCCGAGAGTTGAAAAATGTTCAACTTTGGATAAAACGCAGCGCTCATCGCTGTCACTTTTTACCCAGCCGTCCAATCACAGTGGAGGAGGGGCGGGACTAAACCACACTGACCAACTGTCACAACATTCAAACTGTGCTGCGGATATTCTGTATCATAGCAACGAAACGTCTCAACGGAAAAAACGCCACTCTCAAGCGCCCAAAACACGGTGTCTTCAGCAGACCGTCTAGCGTTTTCAGCTGGCTAAAAACGCTTTGGTGGATACGCGCCTTGCGTATGTTTTCAATTGTTTTCAATGAGAGTGATGCGTTTTTTAAACGCCATGAGCGTGACGAGTCGCTGAGCGTCTTTTTTCACGCTGAAACGCCGAGCGGCCGGCGTTTTTTACTGGTCGCCGAGAGTTGAAAAATGTTCAACTTTGGATATAACGCAGCGCTCATCACTGTCACTTTTTACCCAGCCGTCCAATCACAGTGGAGGAGGGGCGGGACTAATACCACAACCACCAACTGTCACAACATTCAAACTGCTGCGGATATTCTGTATCATCGCAACGAAACGTCTCAACGGAAAAAGCGGTGCGCTGCCAAAACGCTCTCAAGCGCCCAAAGCACGGCGTCTTCAGCAGAGCGTCTAGCGTTTTCAGCTGGCTAAAAACGCTTTGGTGGACACACGGCCTAAGTTTTTGTGAATGTGTGAAGTTGCAAACACCTTATATTGAGGCAAATTTCTTAGATATACAGCACTAACACCAGCTCTGCAGATGAAAGCCATTCATATGCCGATACTAACCGCTATCTAATGTTCAACTTGGTAAAATCAAGGGAATTCATCATGGGCTTGAATTCTTTTGACCTCTGTTGTTTTGTAGTAGTTGGTGTTTGTGTTTTGTAGGAAATCAGTGTTAAGATGATTAGTTTTCCTCTGGTGAACTTAGATCCTGTGGAATTTCAGGTTCTCTCCATACAAATGCAAATACTTTGAATAATTATGTAAAATATGATACTTTAATCCTAGATCTGGATTAAAGTGTTCTTGCAACTAGGTAACTTTACTTTATTAAAGGGGTCATGGCGTGGATTTTTATTTTATTTTAATGTTACTTGACTTATACTTATAATGTTAATAAAGTTTATTTTGCAAAATAAATAAACTATATATATTATGTTTAACCCTCATTTTGAGCCTCTGTCTGGAATGATCAGTTTTTAAGGCGCGGCTCCTTTAAGGCTCATCAGTAAACGGCCACTGTTATGATTGGCTAACGTCACTGCACCGTATCAACGCCCACTTGCTATTGCACATGAGTTAGTGTTTTGAAAACATTATCCATATAAAACCGTCATTTACAGACAAAGCATTATAAAATCACTAGCCTCTGAGCCTCGTTTACTAAATAAAATGCTCCGAACAAACATATAATCCTCTGACGTGATCAGTAAAATAATTCAACCACTTGTTTCTGATGCTGGGATCCTTCTTAAGTCTCTACAGAGACACAAACAAGCGGTTTAAACTGGTTAAAGTACAAAGCGAAAGTTCTTCGTCCATTAGTCAAGTTGTCAACAGACTCAAGTGTGTGGAGTTCATCAGAAACTGAACACACATCTGTAAACTGTATCAGTGTAGACAGCGTCAGGGATTATAATGGGTTTTATGTTTTTAACGTGACGCTCACATCCAGTCAGCCATTAAGCGACCGAACGCCAGTAAGCGGAGCCTATGAGCAGATGATGAACTATTCCTCGATCTCTTGCTCTGGAGGCAGTCATATGCAAATGTATTTGCCCGTGTGACGTCACAGATCCCGCAATATCAAAATGAGCTGTTTTCTACATTAAATAAGTGCTTTGTTTATAATGATGAGGAGGTTTTAAGTTAAGAAACTTGCAGGATGTTTTAACGGTATACAGACCTATTATATGTCAAAAGATCAAAGGAAATTAGATTTTTCATGCCATGACCCCTTTAAGTTCATTAAGACTTAAAGGGATAGTTCACTTTGAAATGTATTTTAATATGTTTTATCTTACCTCAAGGGCATCCAAGATGTCTTTGTTTCCGCAGTATTTTAAATTTTTATATTTTTAGGTCAAACCGTTCTTGTCTGTCAGTCATATAATGGAGGTCTATGGTCACCACCTCAAAGGGCATGCACAGAGAAGTCCAAATTAAAACATGATTTAATGACTCGTAAATGTAAGTACACATTGATGGCCTAAGACACGAAACGAGCGGTTTGTGTGCGAAAACGAACAGTATTTATATCGTTTTTACCTCTTGTAACCACAGCCATGTCCAAGTGTTCTGAAGGCGCGGGCGCTTTGGTCTGCGCAAGCACCAGAAAGCGTCGAAAGTGATCTCTTGCGCAGTTGCAAAAAAAAAAAAAATCAACGTTGTCTGTTGATATATATCGAAATCGTCTTCCATTGCAATTTCCGGTATATCTAAATATGTTTAGATCTTCACAGTGAAGGGTAGGTGGTGACCATAGACCTCCATTATATGACTGACAGACAAGAACGGTTTGACCTAAAAATATCAAAATTGAAAATACTGCGGAAACAAAGACACCTACATCTTGGATGCCCTTGAGGTGAGCTAAAACATATCAAAAATACATTTTAAAGTGAACTATCCCTTTAATTTATAAATAAAGTACGTACACAGAAAAACAAATTCCATTCCTACTCAATTTTACTTGAGCCAAACAAGTACGTTTACTTTTTTCAGCTTTCATTCTCTTAGTCGAGTAAACTCAACCAATTTTACATTTTATAATGAGCGGATTATGTTTGGATACAGAGGAGAATAAGGAAAAACAAAACCTGTAACAGCAAAGATAACATGTGACTCAAAGATAAGCATGCAGAGCAAGAAAAGACAGAGCGCTAATGGATAACCTTTGCGGTCTCTTCATGTGTGCTGTCTTCATCCTCTTTCTTCTTTTTCTTGGTTTTCTTCTCTTTTTTATCCTTGTGTTTCTTCTTCTTTTTCTTCTCCCCTCCGTAATCGCTGGCAGCACTGTCAGAATTCATGGCATAGTCCGGTTCGGAGTCTCTCTCGATGTCACTGTCCTGAAAGAGGCAGAGAAAGTAAGATCAACCTTAAGAACATACATCATTGGAGCTGTCAATATACTGCATTCATTTAATACACTTTATAAAACGGCTAGTTAAAATATCTAAATATTCTGATTCAGTTTTGTTTTTTAACTGTCCGCGAAAGGGACAAAAAGTTACATAGTGTACCTTTAAATGATTCTCTCATCCGCCACTTTGCATTATCTCCATTCAAGGGGCTTTTTCAGAGATTTATAAATAAATTTATATATATATATTGATATACTATATATGATTTATTATAGGGTTCATAAGGGCTAATTAATCAGCATATCATGTAATTTGCCTTAAATTTATAATTTGATTATAAATCAATTAATGGCTTGCAGACTAAAGGTTTAATGAAAAATGCATTTGAACATGAAGACAGAAAAACACATCAACCACATACTATTTTTTTGCGCTTGCGCACTTTGGTCATCTTCCCCTCCTTGTCTTTCTTCTTCGTCTCTTTCTTTTTCTTAGGGCCTCGTTTCTTTTTCCCCAGGTTGTCCCTGTCTGACGTCTCGCCAATGTCGTCTCCATCATCTAAGCGAGAGAGAGACGCAGGGAAATGAGGGAACATGGGAGGACTGATGAAATTAAAGTGACCATAATTCTTTGCAAACCCTCTGAGGTAGCCTTCAAATCATTTCCCACTTCAATTATTGAACAACACGAGCGGCGCAGAGACCGAGACTGTCACATAGGAAATAAGTCATTCCACTTATGACTTGAACTAAGCTGTAGTATTTAATGAATTAATCTCACAAACATAATTATCTACATGACCTAATTATGACAGCCAGCTCGCATGGAAAGCTATTTACAGAGTGAATTTTAAGATGATGATAAATATTGTATGCCGCACTCTCCATAAGATGAAAATTTCAGGTCACTGCATGAGCAGAATAAATTACTCTAAAGCCACCATGAAATCAAAATTGACAATTCTTGTTTTTTTAGGAATACACAGTACTTATTTTAACAGATTTATCCATGCACATCATTTTTTTTATTTACGTGCCCTCATAATCTTTCATCAAAATAACACAACCTGTCACTTTACCAACCACAACCATCAAACTCAAAACTCTCTCAGGATGTGTTTGTGTTGTCAGTTAACAGAAAATGTGCTTCATGAGGAAACATCAAAAGTGGTTAATGTTATATTCCAAATAAGGTCCCTGTATTATGCTTCCATAAAAGGTACTTTTACACACAGAAGGGGCAAAGTGGAGTTAAACAGCTGCAGTCATGTGACAATTTACAGCAGCCATGTAAAAACGTTTCATTTGAAGCTTAGCCCATTTAAATTCAAAAACATTTTGGACATAATATTACCAAGCTCAAAATAATTTAACATGCCTACCTGACGACATAGTTTAGGCTACATCAACAAAGGAGCTTTTTTTTTAAGGGTAGACTACTTACGTTAAAAAGTAACGTTACACCAACTCACTTTTTAGTTTTACACTGCATTATACAGCTTGTTTTAGTAAATGTAGCACCGTATCATCATATCATGTCTGGCTAACAGCAGATAGCGTAGAAGTATCGCCATTGCGCTGCGATAAATGAGTTAGGTTTAATAGTGTCTTTGTTGCTGGGGCGCGCGCGCGCGGGCAGAGCCCTTACCCCCAGCCAGAGGCGGCAGAAACACACACTCGAGGCCCGGGGATTGAAAGGCCGTGAGCTGAGCTGATGCTCCCCTCTTCGTGAACTCCTGCACCTGGAGTGAGAGACCACCAGATGAACCGCACATGAAGGTCGCGGGGGCGAGACAGGACGCGCGTGCTGCTGCTGACTGACTCACTCACGCGCACCGTGGGAATGCGCGAGACACACACTTACACGAGGCCCCACATATAAAAGTTAGAATTAACTAAACAAGTTATTTTAAAGAAAAATAGTATTCCTATGCCAGTCATTATTTAAGATAGTATAAGATTAATCGACTGAATAGTGGAGCTTTTGACTCATCACTGTCTATCTCTGTTGATGTCATCATACACGCTGTAATATAGCGGTTTATTGACATGGTCACACTCAAACAGCCTGAGGGATGATGACAGAGGACAGACTGTCATGACATTTTGCAAAGTGAAAGCAAAGCAGATCTCTGAAAGAGGCGGCAGTGGGTCGGGTCAAGTTTATTTACATTGTCACAATCAAAGCGGTAACAGTTAGTCTCTGACCCGCATTTAGATCAATGCATTGGCTTGTTATTCTGTATCTGCTCATGTAAAAATCCGCAACCTTCGGGGTACAAACAAAACAACAAATGGTCGAGAATGGCAGCTTAATGATCCTTTGTCAGATCGCCGCGGGAGATGAAAAAGCACCATCATATGACAAGACCTGATGAATGACACAGACGGGACAGAGAGAGGGGGGATCGGTCAACTTTAACCAAACTCTATGCAACTCTTTGCCGAAATGCACGCGGATAAATAAAGCATGCACAATTCCTAACAGCCTCAGAGCATCCATGATGAAGCATGCAGTCGCGCAGATGTCGCAGTTTGAGGGTGATTCGCGTTTGTTTCGATGTGTTTTCGTGCCCCGCGCGCGCGGACTGTACGGTACCTGGCGCGGCTCTTGCTGCAGTTTCTCGAGGCGCCGCCGGCGAGTTTATGTCGCTTGCGTTCTCGTCCAGGTCTCCGTCGTCTTCTTCTTCTTCATCAAAATCTCCTCCCTCGGAATTAACCGCCGTGCCCTCATCTTCCTCACAAGAACGGAGAAGAGAGGACATTATATTCCCGCTGGTGACCCCGTTCCGCGAGATCCAAAAGTGTATTCCGTCCGAATTATGATATTTATTTAATATTCAAATGGACACACAAAAAGTGGGGGGCGTTTTGGAATATTTTACACTACAAGGCAGAGAAACAAAGATGGCCGCCCTTATATTTATTTTTTAACAACCCCCCCACCCCACCTCCCCCCCCAATAAGAAAAATCCCCTTACATAAAAATGGCTGACTATATTATTTCAGAACGCCCCCCCTCCTCCTCCTCCTCCTTTTTTCTTTCTCTCTTTCTCTCCTGTCTCCCCTCCCTTCTTAAAAATAACTGGAGGGGGGGGGAGGGGGTAGCTGACTGCAACTTGTATTTCAGTTCATTTTTATTGTGTGATCTTTCTCTCTCTCTGCTTCAGACTTGCCTGGTGTGTGTAACTCTGCAAGTGCGTAATAACGCACGCGCGCACTGCCGAGAGCAACACGAATCTAACAAACATGGCCACCTCAATATTCTTTAAAGCCCCCACCTTTGTAAAAACAAATCCACAAAAGAAAAAGGAAAAAATAAAAAGAGCTGGAGCGAAAGGGCTGATGTGAGGTTGGCTCGAGGGGGAGCGCTGCCGCAGCCATGCCCACACTTACATCATGTTGCATTGCTTAAAAATTAACTATTTGAGGGGAGGACAAAACAAAGCAAGTTACCAGAGCTGCAAAAGATAGATTAATTATTAGCAAATGGAAATGCCATAGACTAGATAGATCATTCCACATGTTTAGCTGCTGATTTACACGAATAGTTTGCAAATACACATGTTGCATTCTAAACTCTGACACTTTTCAAGGATGCATGCCACATGCACATTTTTCCTACTTGAAATACCTTCTTTGATTAAACTTGCAGTTCGTACATATATAGTTTCACATTCTAGATCAGCAGTTCTCATCCTTTCTAACACTATTGTCAAAGACACTATTTGACGCCCCAAGATATTTCTGCTATATATATATATATATATATATACATATATACTGTATGTTGCACATAAAAAAAATATAATAATTATATATATATTGAAACTAGTGCCAATATAATTCATTTTATAATAAAAATTTATATAGTTTAAATTTCTAACAACATCTACATTTAATATTATAATTACATTAAATAAAATAATTATAATTTAAATAAAATTGCATAAGCAGTTTAAATCACAATGTTTACATTTTATTATTAATGAATATACATTACTTTTCTCATTTGTGAATAGTTTTTTTTGAATAGTCATTTGTGAATAGTTTTTTTTTTCTCACAAATTGTAATTTCTAGACATTAAAATATTTTACAGCTTGACAATAACTAGTAAAATGTATATCTGTTATAGAAATGTTCACAACTTTTTAAGATTTGACTAATTTGCATGACTTTTCCAGGTCTACAAATCACACTTTCAAAATTCCTTAAATATCCAGGTTTTCTAAGACTGTGGGAACCCCAGTTCTTTAGTAAAAAATGACGACTTTTTGGGGGAATTAATTAAAATAAGAAATATGACATCAGCTCACATCTTGAGCTTTAGCTTTTCAGCTTATTATAAAGTATATGTTGTCTTATTTTAAATCATTTTAACACATCTTTAGGCCCTGGATCCCCTGGTTGAAAACCACTGCTCTAGATGTTCTTTCTTGTGCACAAAGACAAGTAGCAAATGAAACTGCTTGCTTAAAAAACGCACGTTTGCTGCATCACAAAAACGAGTCTCATAAAGTAGTGATTTCATTGATATGTTGGTAGCATGAAAATCAATTCTGTGTACATGCATACATATATAATGCTACTTAATTAGGGTTGTGAGCCCGCTGTGAACTACAATACAGTAGCTGCTGCATTTCCTCCGAGCAATTACCATGGCAACCACCAGACTTTATGGTTCAGGGGTTTATTATGTAGGCTGACATTCATCTTTTTTATTCTGTAGCACAGCGTTTGATTGGATGAAGCCCAGAAAGCTGCAATAAGATAACCATAGACAGAAATCGATAAAGCACTGAACGCATGAATAGTTGATGTGGTGTTCTTGCTCAGATGCCTATAAATTTGCTAGCAGTGGATACAATATTCTAATGAATTATATACCATTGTTCATATTAATGCGAACGTCTTTAGAGTTCAGTGAGGTCGTCGTTAAAATACAGGCATATGGATGGAGAGAAGAGGTTACAGTCTGGGCTTCCGCAGTAAAACTCGTCCTCTTCAGGGATGCCGTTTTCACTCAGGGTCTTGCTCATGTCCAAATTCACACCATTGTGTTTCCAGGTGTAGCTTGACGCATGGGAATTGTAGCGCAGGTATTGCTGTAGAATCTCATCCAAGGTCTCCTCTGAACACACCTGCATAGAAAACAACTGCTTAAAAGAATGATCTGATGATGAAGTGCACTTTTTCTGACACGTTTGTTCAAACACTATATACAATTTTCAACACTTGACGAGCTATAATCCTGGTTATGGGCGTTCCGTTGCCGACAGTCTCTGCCTACGGTTTAACAATAACAACTGACTGGGTCATTTGACCAATCGCCGCAGATCCGCGTCACTCAAAGTAGGTGTTTGGGAAAATGAATCGTCGAACGAATCATTTGGGAGTCGTTGATCAAATCAGTTAAAAATAAATGCATATTATAAGACAAATAAAGTGCTTTTTATCCTTCCATGCACGTTAAACTGTTTTTGGGAACTCCTAAAACAAAAATAGGAACATTTCAAATGCTATGATAGGGGCTCTTTAATATCTAAACTTGGAAAAAAGTTTATACAAATAAATGTGAATTGAATTACGGACTTTTTTCTTGCACTTCCGAGTTTATATCTCACAATTCACTTTTTTTTCAGAATTCCGAGTTTATATCTCATAATTCTGAGGTTATATAAACTCGGAACTATAAAAATTTCAAAAAAGTCTGAATTGTGAGATATAAAATCGGAATTCTGAAAAAAAAGTATGAATTGTGATGTATAAACTCGGGAAAAAAGTCGGAATTGTGAGATATAAACTCGGAATTCTTAAAAAAAATGAATTGTGAGATATAAACTCGGAATTCTAGAAAAAAGTCTGAATTGTGAGATATAAACTCGGAATTCTGAAAAAAGTCGGAATTGTGAGATATAAACTCGGAATTCTGAAAAAAAGTTTGAATTGTGAGATATAAACTTGGAATTCTGAAAAAAAGTTTGAATTGTGAGATATAAACTCGGAATTCTGGAAAAAAAAGTCTGAATTGTGAGATATAAACTCGGAATTCTGGAAAAAAGTCTGAATGGTGAGATATAAACTCGGAATTCTGAAAAAAAGTTTGAATTGTGAGATATAAACTCGGAATTCTGGAAAAAGTCTGAATTATGAGATATAAACTCGGAATTCTGGAAAAAAGACTGAATTGTGAGATATAAACTCGGAATTCTGAAAATAAGTCTGAATTGTGAGATATAAACTTGGAATTCTGAAAAAAGTCTGAATTGTGAGATATAAACTCGGAATTCTGAAAAAAAGTTTGAATTGTGAGATATAAACTTGGAATTCTGAAAAAAAGTTTGAATTGTGAGATATAAACTCGGAATTCTGGAAAAAAAAAAGTCTGAATTGTGAGATATAAACTCGGAATTCTGGAAAAAAAAGTCTGAATTGTGAGATATAAACTCGGAATTCTGAAAAAAAGTTTGAATTGTGAGATATAAACTCGGAATTCTGGAAAAAAGTCTGAATTATGAGATATAAACTCGGAATTCTGGAAAAAAGACTGAATTGTGAGATATAAACTCGGAATTCTGAAAATAAGTCTGAATTGTGAGATATAAACTTGGAATTCTGAAAAAAGTCTGAATTGTGAGATATAAACTCGGAATTCTGAAAAAAAGTTTGAATTGTGAGATATAAACTCGGAATTCTGGAAAAAAGACTGAATTGTGAGATATAAACTCGGAATTCTGAAAATAAGTCTGAATTGTGAGATATAAACTTGGAATTCTGGAAAAAAGTCTGAATGGTGAGATATAAACTCGGAATTCTGAAAAAAAGTTTGAATTGTGAGATATAAACTCGGAATTCTGGAAAAAAGTCTGAATTATGAGATATAAACTCGGAATTCTGGAAAAAAGACTGAATTGTGAGATATAAACTCGGAATTCTGAAAATAAGTCTGAATTGTGAGATATAAACTTGGAATTCTGAAAAAAGTCTGAATTGTGAGATATAAACTCGGAATTCTGGAAAAAAGTCGGAATTGTGAGATATAAACTCAGAATTCTGAAAAATGTCTGAATTGTGAGATATAAACTCGTAATTCTGGAAAAAAGTCTGAATTGTGAGATATAAACTCAGAATTCTGAAAAATGTCTGAATTGTGAGATATAAACTCGGAATTCTGGAAAAAAGTCTGAATTGTGAGATATAAACTCGGAATTCTGAAAAAAAGTCTGAATTGTGAGATATAAACTCGGAATTCTGGAAAAAAGTCTAAATTGTGAGATATAAACTCGGAATTCTGAAAAAAAGTCGGAATTGTGAGATATAAACTCGGAATTCTGAAAAAAGTCGGAATTGTGAGATGTAAACTCGGAATTCTGAAAAAAGTCTGAATGCAGTTTATTTTGCATAATTCAGAGGGGGAAAAAATCAACACTCACAATTCAATTCTGACTTTTTTTCTTGCACTTCTGAGTTTATATCTCTCAGTAAGGAGAGGAAGAAGCATCTGGACTGACTGGCAGATGGTTGTTCAACCCAGAGTTTATATAGCCTGGCTGCAACTGAAGCAAGTAAATAAGCACAGTCAGTCTGAGAGCGCCTGTAATGCCACAGGCTCAACATTAGGTCCATTTCCCTCAAGCTGGAAAGCAATCAGATGCAAAGAGTGGGAGGGAGATTGAGAGGAACTAGAAAGAGAAGAAATCCTGCCCTCCTCAGTTTACTGCAGCACAGTGCAAGTATGCAATATGACATTAGGAATGTAGTCTGTGGAGTAAAAGAGGCATTTTATCAGGAATTCCTGTGGTAAAAATCAAGTTTTAAATGTTGTTTATATGTCTATGTGCTCTTTTTAATATGCTTTAAAGGGGCATTGTGTAATATTTAGGAGGATCTGTTAACAGAAATGCAATATCATATACATAACTATGTTTTCAGTGGTGTATAAAGACCTTACTTAATGAACAATTATGTTTTTTATGATCTTAGGATAAGCCATTTCTAATACATACTACATACACGCGGGTCCCCTACATTGAAATGTGCAGACATGTTTCTACTAGTAGCCCTAAATGGACAAGCACGTTTCATGGAAGTGTAGGTTCAGAAAGTAATTCTTATTGCAGAAAAGCTAGCTAAAGTCAGCATATAAAACACTGACACAATGATGAACAAATAACAATAATATTCGCAATAACATATCGTGTTACTGAATAATTAAATAAACCAAATTTCTTAATTTATCTTTGTAAAGAAACTTCGGCCACTCTCTGACGACATCTTTTCATGTCGGCCACCGTAAATTCTCTTGGTTGCAATTCACAACCTCACCACTAGATGCCGCTAAAAATCACACACTGCACCTTTAAGACAAACCATGTGCAAATTCATCAGTATTATCTCCTTAAAACTGCAGTGAACTAAAGACAGTTTTAAAAATGTGGTTCTCTACATCACAAACTTGTTGTAACCAATCAGTTTCTGGTTCAAAAATGGCTAATGTGTTTGAAATAAACTAACATTTCCACATGCCATTGTGCTAATTTGCATATTGATACAAAATGAAGCAAGTGTAGAGTTACATTCAAGCTATTTTAAAGCATGAAAATTTTTTATTTTCATAGGAAAAAACTTTTAAATACGTCATGATTTTGGTGATCAAATATGATGTTGACTACAGGGGGACTCTTTAAATAATTAATATGCACTTTTTAGGACAAAATCCCGAAATTATTTTTGCAGATGAGTCAGCATTGTGTGTTTGTTGCTACTAAGAGGCTGTAACTCTATACTGTATACTCATATACTGGCCTACCTCCAGCCTCTGCTCCTGGGAGGTCAGAGTGTTGATAATGCGGATCCAGCGAGTTTTGGCAGACAGCAGACCGACCTCATAGCGGTTATCCTTCCACCACGGCTTGCCGAAGTCATTGGCCCAGTCCGTGCGAGGGCAGGGAGGGGGTATGTGTATAAAGCGCCCCCTAGGGGTGTAGTATTTAATGCAGCCAGTCATAAGGTCAACATGGGTAAGAATCTGAAAAGGGAAGACACCACATTGAGAAGAACAATATGCAGTATAATATGTGTGTGTGTGTGTGTGTGTATACATTAAAACTAAAAGTTATTCAGAAACCAGAAATATTTTTTTGATATTTTACTAGTGTGTGCAGGACAATATAGTTCCTTTATGTAAGTGAGGATAGCAAAATAAAGTAATCTGTGACATATTATACCCCAAAATTATTCATACAGTGAAATACCAGTAAAATCTATAAAAGTTTGGGACCAAAAATGAGTCAGACACTTTGACCCGACCATGTTTTGCTTAAGTGTTTTTGCTAATGTGACCTTTTTACATGACAGACTGAAAAAATTAAGCATTGCTTGGTAATTTGTTGACCTAAATTGGTATTATCTAATTACTTAAATGTACTTAAATTTAACAACCTAATTCATTTGTGAGACAGTCTAAAAGAAGTGAAATATCAACTGATATGATAATGGAGTTCTTGTCATACTCTATTAACTAATCTATAGCGAATAAATTTTAGTTTGACTGTATATATCAGTCCCATAATCCCCCTTATAAAAATGTTTTGTCATTCAGAAGATTGAGATGGAGTGACAAAAAGAAATGATTAAAGAAAAGACATTTTTATTGTCGTGTGCTCTCTATAGGAGTTATTTTCTGTACAGTTCTTGTTTTTGCTAGATGACATGAAAATATTATATTTTCATTAACTTTTGTTATTAAATGTTTTTGTGTAGCTTACGTCCTTTGTCTTAGGATCAAACCAGTTACTGATGTCCTTTCCTGCACACTCAATAATAGGCTTCAATAACACATCACCTGCAATATAAGAGAGAGACAGAGAGAGAGAGAGAGAGAGAGAGAGAGAGAGAGAGAGAGAGAGAGAGAGAGAGAGAGAGAGAGAGAGAGAGAGAGAGAGAGAGAGAGAGAGAGAGAGAGAGAGACTTTTTGACATACTGCTTTGAATAAATGGTTAATAAATGCCAAGAATTGTAACGTTAATTTCTTTTCTTTTTTTTTACCTGCTTACCTTTAAACTCCTCCAGAAGCGGCGTCAGATCGTACACTTTGCCAAAATACGACACCCATATATCTTTGACAGTGTTGTGACGGGACACCTCTTTCGGCGTGAAATACTTTGGGCGACGCATTTTAACAAAACTAATATGTTATAGAGATTTACACGGTTTGCACGATTTAGTAGTATTCAGGGATTGCAAACGCTAACTTAGTTGTTATTGCATCGTTGCGAAGCGGCCACGGAAGCGCGCACAAGTCCACTGGTTGCGGTGGTAACCGAGGCACTGAGGAGCGCGTGAGCGTGCAAACCTACGGAAGCCCAGAACCGCAAACAGAAAAAAGTAAGTAACGCTATTTTTCATAGACTGTATCCTCAAGGCAGGTGGAAATGAGTAACTGCATGTTTTGAACATATCTCCTAAAGGCTAATTTTGTCATTGTTTAATAGTAGCCTAGCTTATAGATGAAAGTAAGGCGAACATATTCATACTAAAGGCCAAAAAACGTTTGATTTCAGGGACTTAAGGGTGTGGGGGCGATTTCTGACAGCCACAATTAGTTTGGTAACACTTTATAATAACGTCCAATTAGTTCACTTTAGTTTATGCATTAGCCAGACATCCCACCATGCAGAAACTCATTTCCGGGAGATGGCACACTTCCCCTACAGGCTGCAGCGAGGGGTGTCTCCACTTCCCTGACTTTCAATCCAATAAAGCTATTCATGAATTCATCAAAGAATATAAAATTATCTCTTAGACTTAGATATATCCTCCTTACCGACTAATTAAAAGAAAAAGACACTTGATAAACGAGTCCTCAACATTCTTTTTTTAAATACAGCATATCTTGGGAGTTTTTCATGATTTTGTTTATCTTAAAACAAATGAAAAACAAGCATAAAACATTTGGAAGACCCTTGTCCTTAACATCAGTGAGGTCAAGAAGACATTTTGCTTTGGCATGTCGGCACACACGAACAATCGTAAACCGGCCCAAAACCGCAAATCTTTTAAATAATGGTGATGGCATGTCATAAACCTTCAAATAAAAAAAAATATTATTTTAAGGTTTAGGAGATAAATATACATAAATGTAATAGTGATTGATTAAGTAGATTGACCTTCAACTTGAAATTAGACCGTGCAGGAGTAATTCATCAAGTTTACATAATAGTTTCAAAGCGTTGTTGTGGGAATCGACCTGTTGACAGACAAAAAACCTTGGAAGGCTGCTTCATAGTCTGTCATCTGATTTGTCATTTGCAACAGCTGCAGAATGATCATAAACTTTCTGTCAAGTAACCTTTTAGCAAAGACTTCAGTAAAAAACTATTGTGCAAACTGCTATCAGATCGAAAGTGTGAGGCTATAAAGCAGCCCAAGGGTGGTTTTTATGGGAAACACTTCAGATTATGAAATTGAGAAAGTCATAAGAAAACTAAGGTACTTCTTTTGCCAGAAAAGCGTGCAATACTGCTTTATCTATTTCAAGGCTGCCGGCATGTCAGAGCTGAAACAATAAGAATGCAAATATGACATACTGGTGTCAGAAGTACTTGGCACGGTCTAAAAGAAACCACAACCCTAAATTCTGGAGTGTCATTCAAAGTAAACAAACAAGCAGCAGAAAAAAAAGACAGTATGAGAGAGACAATGGCACATACGTCAAAGAAACCTTCGGGCCGTAATGACTCAGCTGGGTTTAAGACTCCAAGTTCAACTTGACTCCATTTTAAAGTCTTTAAGCAGAGAAAAGCAAACACCAAACTAATGGTGTCCGTCCAATCAAGTAATTTGCTCCTGGAGAAGTCCCAAACAGCCTGTGGATTCAAGTCTCAACAACAACAACAACAAAAATCAAACTCCCCCTTTGATAAGATTCCTCTAAAGTTCAGTTTATAACACAGGTTCTCTAGTCCAAATCATTGTCCGTTTATTCTGCATTAGTTGTACTGGAACTTGAAGTGGAAGTTTCCGTTCTCGAAGGGGTTGAAGCCGAAGGGCCATTCTCTATTTCCTCCTCCTCCACCCTGATGATTCTCAGGGTCCAGAGGGTCCTCGCCCGAATCAAACTTCTGACGCATTTCTGTACGGAAAACAGCAAAGAAGAATGCATATGTTTGAAGGTAAACAAACAATCTTCATACATTTAGCAAAAACAAAAACTGTGAAAGTGCTATTTTTTCCTAATTTTGTTTTGACGGTCTCCTACAACAGGTTTACATGCAAAAGTCACAGAAACAATTTTATTTTCTCACAATATATTTTGCACATCACCTCGAATCTCAAAGATTCTCAAAAGACACGTCCAAAAATTCTCTGATTCTCTGAACGACACGTCCAAAGTCTTCTTTCCGAGAGTTTACTCTGCTCTGATTGGTCAGATGGCCCAGTCTGTTGTGATTGGTTCACTCTAATTGGTCAGATTACCCAGTCTGTTGTGATTGGTTTACTCTGCTCTGATTAGTCAGATGGTCCAGTCTGTCGTGATTGGTCCACTCTGATTGGTCAGATGACCCAGTCTGTTGTGATTGGTCTACTCTGCTCTGATTGGTCAGATTACCCAGTCTGTTGTGATTGGTCTACTCTGCTGATTGGTCAGATGACCCAGTCTGTTGTGATTGGTCTACTCTGCTCTGATTGGTCAGATTACCCAGTCTGTTGTGATTGGTTTACTTTGCTCCGATTAGTCAGATGGTCCAGTCTGTCGTGATTGGTCCACTCTGATTGGTCAGATTACCCAGTCTGTTGTGATTGGTCTACTCTGCTGATTGGTCAGATGACCCAGTCTGTTGTGATTGGTCTACTCTGCTCTGATTGGTCAGATGACCCAGTCTGTTGTGATTGGTCTACTCTGCTCTGATTGGTCAGATTACCCAGTCTGTTGTGATTGGTCTACTCTGCTGATTGGTCAGATTACCCAGTCTGTTGTGATTGGTCTACTCTGCTCTGATTGGTCAGATTACCCAGTCTGTTGTGATTGGTCAACTCTGCTCTGATTGGTCAGATTACCCAGTCTGTCGTGATTGGTTTACTCTGCTCTGATTGGTCAGACGGCCAAGTCTGTTGTGATTGGTCCACTCTGATTGGTCAGATTACCCAGTCTGTTGTGATTGGTCTACTCTGCTCTGATTGGTCAGACGGCCCAGTCTGTTGTGATTGGTCCACTCTGATTGGTCAGATTACCCAGTCTGTTGTGATTGGTCTACTCTGCTCTGATTGGTCAGACGGCCCAGTCTGTTGTGATTAGTCCACTATGATTGGTCAGATTACCCAGTCTGTACTCTGTATTGATTGGTCTACTCTGCTCTGATTGGTCAGATTACCCAGTCTGTACTCTGTATTGATTGGTCTACTCTGCTCTGATTGGTCAGATGGCTCAGTCTGTTGTGACTGGTCTACTCTGCTCTGATTGGTCAGATGGCCCAGTCTGTTGTGATTGGTCTACTCTGCTCTGATTGGTCAAATTGATTGGTCTACCACTTGCAGCGCTTTCTCGACAACCAAACACTTCCAGTCTCAACTACAACTACAGTGTTTGACGGTCAAAGTAGACGTTGTTCACGGCCAACTGCAAATTTGTTACAAACCTACATAGGTTTATAACAGGAAGTGAGACTGGAATTACTAACGACTCATTTCGGCAGTTCAGAATCAATTCAATAACTTTATCTGTTGTGTTAAATAACTTTAACTTTATCTTTGATCTATGCATACTTTTACATTCACAAAAAGCTAGTACACACTGCATGGAAGACAATATTTGAAAAAGCATAATAGTGCCAATAAAACCTGGAAAGAACATTGACAATCATGTGTTTACATGTTTCATTTCGGATTTGCCTTCACTTGGTATTCTCTTACCTGGATCTGTGAGCACTTCCTTTGCTGATGCAATTTCAATAAACCTTTTCTCTGCCTCTTTCTTGTCTGCTTCAGACTGGAAATTATCAGGATGCCACTGCTGAGCCAGCTTTCTGTATGCTTTTATGATTTCCTGTTTGTTGGCACTCCTGAAAACAAGTGAAAAGAAACAAGAATTTGTCTTTTGGCTTACACCTATTACCACCTACTCGTAAATATTACAGTTTGTACATCAAAGCTTATACTTGTTTCAATTGAGAATACTTTATCAACAGCCATTTATGAGCACTGTTTATTCGTATCACACACTAACTGGGTTAGTGCGATGTTGAGGCATGACGCAATGTTCTAACACTACAGCGCTCAAGTTGAAATAAGTCTAATTATTTTTAAAAAAACGGGTTTTTTTCACAAGTCTTCAATTCGCTGACTTGTGTTCTATGTGAGCAGGATTGTGATCGTCAATCGTTACCGTACCTGCTGACCCCCAGGATCTTGTAATAGTCCCTCTTGCGAGAGAGCTTGAGGAGCTTCTGTGCCCGATCGAGACCTTCACGAATCTCTTGGTTGTCTTGATCAAACTCCCGAGCCTCCTGATAATCTTCCACAGCTGAGAATCAGAATTTTCACACATACAAAATGAAAATCCTTACATGGTATTAAAATGTATTTTGGTCGATCCAATCAGCTAATACAGGGTCATGTGATCGAATGCGTTCGAACAGCTACTAAACGTTGAGGATTTTCTGTTAGAACGGTGTCGTGTAAGCGCCCCCAAAGTAAATAATCTTTGCTACAGAAGTGAATCGATCAAAACTAACTTTAGCCAGACAATAACTCTATTACTAGAGCTGCTGTAAACCAAAAACAATTTCGGTCACTGTAATTTCTGATTATCACTGTAAAGTTGATTTGAAACAGTCCATATTGTTAAAAGCGCTATATAAATGAAGGTGACTTGACTAAAAACTGTCTAGTCTCCTCCTACTGACATAATGCGAGTCATTAAATCATGTTTAATTTGGACTTCTCTGTGCATGCTCTTTGAGGTGGTGACCATAGACCTCCATTATATGACTGACAGACAAGAACGGTTTGACCTAAAAATATCAAAATTGAAAATACTGTGGAAACAAAGACACCTACATCCTAGATACCCTTGAGGTAAGCTAAAAAAATATCAAAAATTAATTTCAAAGTGGTGGCCTATAATAAATAAATATAATAAAATATATATAAAATCTAAATTCTACCTTTCTCATATTCCTGCAGAAGGATGTAGGCCTCCGCTCGGTCCCGGAGGATGTGGATATTCTGAGGCTCTCTCTGGTGAGCTTCTGAACAAATGTCTAAGGCTTCCTCGGCTTCCTTCATCTGGAGGAGTCACAAGAGAAAACCACAAGCAATGAGACGAAGGCCAGACACCAAAGCCTGACTTGAACATGGTCTTGCATTATTGACCTCTAATGATGTGAAAGAGCACAGACCACTTAAATAGTAACTAGAAGTTCTTCTAATCCCTTCAAATGTGTAATATAACAGCATAATGACTAAATTACATCCTGTAATGGCACATACTTTGACTAAGCAGAAACAGATCCTCTCCTTTGCTTTATTAATGTAGAACGCAACATTTGGCTCCGTTCGCATCACAGACTCATACTTATCGATGGCTTCCTGATACCTGGCAATCAAGAGCAAAAGACAAAAACAATTAATAAATAGTCAGAATTATGATGATGATGACGTCTGCAAAGTCTGAAAAATGATAGAAAAAAATGAAAATTTATTTTCAAAATGAAAAATCATTTTGATAGAAATGGATGCAATCAATTGATAAAATTTGACATTAAAGACATTTATAGTGTTACACAAGATTTATATTTCAAATAAATAATGTTTTTTTTTTTATCCAGGAGGAAAAAAATAAAAATAAAAATAACGGGTTTCCACAAAGCAATTAGCAAAATAAATGTTTAAAACATTAAAAATTATAATAAAAGAAAGTTTCTTGACCATCAAATCAGCATATTAGAGTGATTTCTGAAGGATCATGTGACACTGAAAATTCAGCTTTACTATTACAGGAATAAATTACATTTAAAAATATGTTAATAATATTTCACAACATTACTGTTTGTGCTGTATATTAAAAAATAATAATAATAATCAAAATCAATCTTACTGTGCATAAGAAACGTACTTTAAAACCATCATAAAGGGTTAAACGGTGGTGTTTGTACAATAAAATAAATCAACACAAAAAGAGTTTAAAATAAAATGTTATACTTTATAATATCTCATATTATACTATAAAGAATCTCAAAAATAAAGGCCATTCTGGAAGAGATGTTTTCAGCACCTCTGTTCTGAGATCAGCTCTTCTGCAGAGTCCAGCTGCTTGCTGAGCTTCTTGACCTGTTTGTAGTGGGCGAAACACTCCTTGTCATCCTGATCCAGCTTCAGACACTCACGGACATGACTGAAAACAGAAACAAAGAGAAAAGACAAAGTGAACAGCAGCAAATGTAAGAGACATCTTTAATTTTAGAATCAGTATTTCTATGGCAACATGCACAGGGTCAGCGTGTGTATTCACGAACACAGGTACCGTAAAACTACCGCTGAATTCAATAACCAAATTCCTAACCAAAGAATGCAGCGTTCCTAAACAAGCCTGACAACTTGACATTTAGCTTGCTGTACATACTTAAGTGAGTCGTGATGCTCGCCTAAACTGTAATGTAGTTGACTGAGTTTGAGGAAGCCTGCTCGGTTGTCCGCACGGAGACGGGTTGCTGGCGTCAGGTCCATGATGGCCTTTCTCGGCTCCCCGAGGCGGACGAAACACTCGGCTCTTAGTTCTCGAGACTCTGGGTCCCATGGAGAGAGCTGGGGAACCAAGAGTAAATGACTACAAGCACAACAAGGCATTCACATGGAGGTTTTGAATCTCCAGAAAACATCTTAAAGGAGTAGTTCACTTTAAAAAAAAAAACTTTTGCTGATAATTTACTCACCCCCATGTCATCCAAGATGTCCATGTCCATGAAAAGAAATTAAGGTTTTTGATGAAAACATTCCAGGATTTTCTCCATATAATGGACTTCCATGGGAACCAAACGGTTCAAGGTCTAAATGACAGTTTCAGTGCAGCTTCAAAGGGCTTTAAACGACACCAGATGATGAATAAGGGTCTTATCAAGAGAAACGATCAGTCATTTCAAATATAAATACAAAAGTTTAAGGCGATCATTTGTGCTTATTAAACTTCAACTTTTGTAATTATTTTTTAAATGACCGATCGTTTCACTTTTAGCCCTTTGAAGCTGCACTGAAACTGTCTTTTGGACCTTGAAATGTTTGGTGCCCATAGAAGTCCATTATATGGAGAGAAAATCCTGGAATGTTTTCATCAAAAACCTTAATTTCTTTTCGACTGAAGAAAGAAAGACATGGACATCTTGGATGACATGGGGGTGAGCAAATTATTAGCAAACATTTTTTTTTAAAGTGAACTACTCCTTTAAGCCCTAAATGCAACATTTATTTGTCTGTGTTTTATTTGTAGGGCCATTAAAGGTGCAGTAAGCAATTTCTGAGAAACACTGTTGATATTTGAAATCAACCCAAACAAACAGACTCCCAAAATGTACAACACGCAGTGGAAGAGTGGATGTGTTTTTTATAACAGCTGAAGCGAAGAAAAAAAATGTTTCACAAAAAATAAACAAGAATATTTGACCTAAACAAAACTTTCTAATTTTCAGTGAAAAATCTGAATTTTTTTTTAAAAATTTCAATTAATTACAACAGATAACATTAGTTTCAAATCATAATATTACTGGCTGACTGTATTTCTGAACAAATAAATCCAGCCTCGCTGAGCAGGTGAATTCTTTCAAAAACATTAAAATTTCAATTTTTTAATAACAGTATTGTCTTCTGAATTTAAAATTCAGAAGACTTTTACTTAAAGCTGGAATGAATAATTCAATGACTCAGTCATTCTTCATTTTGTTTCTTTAATGATGAATCCGCAAACTCATCCCGAGCTGCTGAGGCTTTAGCCATTTTTTGACGCACTTTTTGTCAACACTTTTTAAAAAAAAATTGCTGCATGTACTGCGTTAAAAGGCCCTTGCACACTGAGTCTGAAATTCACGTCCGAAATTTTCGCACGTTGAAAAATAAATATGACTACGTTACTGTATGTCAATCACACTTGCACACTGCCTCCAAAACTTTCATCCATCATAAAAATTTCAAAAAAAAAAATCGGGTCGGGTTCGATTTTCTGCGTTTTTTGCATCCGTAGCAAGCAGTTTAAATGGTGTTTTGATAATTCATAACCACCGAATCACGAATACGAAAAAACGCATTCAAAAATGTCGGACTCAGTGTGCAAGGGCCTTTAGACTAACTGGGACTAGTCATGACACTTGCATATCATTGCCCTGTTGTTAGTTCGATAGCTTCTATTGCTTTCCTCATTTGTATGTCGCTTTGAATAAAAGCGTCTGCTAAATTATAAAATGTAATGTAAATGTGCAGCTCTTCGTTCAATACACTTCACAAGTTCTATAGATGTCTTTTATGCATCTTTTGAATCTTTACAGAATAAATCACATACCAATTTTTGTTGCATGTAAAACATTCTAGAATCTCAAAATGATTCTGAATTCCATAGAAGAAAAAAAAAAATCAATGGCTTTGAAAAATACACGAGGATGCATAAATGACACCTACCATCCTTTTCATTTTTGTGTGAACTATCCCTTTAATATTACTATCCAACAGCTGTTTCTGCTGCATGTGTATTGGATCTCCAGACTAACTCACCTCGATGACTCGCTCCAGCACCTGGACAGAAGTGGTGTAGTCTCCATGGTGATACGCCTCATGTGCCTCTTCCTGGAGTAACTCCAGCTCGTCGGCCTTGTGGAGCTGGTCATGTGCCTCCTCATGATCCGGGGAACGTTTCAGCTGCGAGAGAGAGAAGTTAGCGGAGCAGGCGGCAGGAACAGAACGAGTAAATGCAGATTGTGATCTGGTTTGAGAATGCAGTTGACAGGTTTTAATTAAAGGGATAGTACACAAAATAAAAGTCAACATTTACTCACCCTGGTGTTGTTCTAATGCTGTATGAGCCACTCTTTTTTTTTTTTTTCAGACCACAAAAGGAGAATTAAAATTCTCATCCATATCATGTCTATCATATCTGTCGACTGTCATTCTGACAAACCGGGGTCTAGTCCGGAGTTATTCAACTCAGTGAAGAAAGTACACAGATACTTTTTTGGGGGATTTCATTGTCATGTTTTCATTAGTCTTGATTTTATCCCATCTTGCAGTGTTGTAGTACTCGAGACTCGGACTCGTCTCGGACTCGGTCTCGAGACCATATTTTAATGGTCTTGGTCTTGTCATGGACTCGTGTCCATTTGGACTCGGAATTGACTCGTACTCGAACATTTTTTTTTTTAGGACTCGGAATTATTCCCGAGTCCACTCGAGTTCAATTCAAAATATTTTTCATGATTATTAATGTATGTTAATAAAATATTTCTTTAAATTGATTGACACGCCCAGTGATTGGTGATTTTCTAGTGCGCAACTGCACATGACAAATTGTAATAAAATTACTTTTAACACCACCTACTATGTGGCCTTTTTACCCTAAACTGATCATATTTTTTAAACTAAGTAAATTCAGTAAAAAAAAAAAAAAGAAGGATTTCTCTAAGTAAATAAAAGTAAATTAGGTAATCAACCCTCACTGGTCTCGGTCTCGACTCGGACTCGACCGTCTCTGGTCTCGGTGTCGACTCGGACTCGAGTGAGGTGGTCTCGACTACAACACTGCCATCTTGTGTGCTTTTCCTGTTCGAGTCTGAGTGAGCTGTGGCTCTAATAAAATTTCATGAATACGCAGTCGAGAACAGAAGATCAACGGCCAAAGTCAGGATTTTGTTAAATACTACATTAAATTTCAGGTTGTTTTTCCCCAAACCCAATTCATAAACCCCCAGAACACTTGGAATATACGGCACGTGTGACATGGGATCATTCTGTGATACTTTTGCATCTTTTTTGAAAAGCTTGATCAATGCCATTATATAGACGAGCGCGAGAGGGACATTTTATCATCTCCTTTTGTGGTCCGAAAAAGAAAAACAGCACTAAAAAAAAAAAAAAAACAGATCATTTTTCATTTCAGGATCAACTATCATGTACTCACTACTGCTTGGAAGTCTTCTCTGGCCTCTTGAGTACTTCCTTGTTTCAGCAGAATATTACCCCTCTGCAGTCTGGCCTGAAAACATGCACACACACACTGAGTGTTTACACCTATAACCCAGTTTGATATCACAACAATAAAATGTAACTCACAGCGAGGAAGTCTGGCTTGAGCTGAATGGCTTGGGTCAGGTCTGGCAGCGCTGACTTGGACTTGCCCATGGCCAGGAAAACGGCGGCCCGTTTGTAGTACGTCAGGTAGTTCTTAGAGTCGCCCTCTATTTAGGAAGTTTGAATTTGTTAATGAAGTGCAACTAAATTTTTTCTTCATATGTGAATTATCTACATAAACTGAAATCAAAAGCATTTTTAGTACCGAATAAGCTTTTTGAAAGTCTTTTCTTCTCACCAAGGCTGTGCTTATTCGACCCCAATCTTTTGAACAGTAGTTTAGCTTTCATGTGTGATGATTGCATGTGTGTGTGTGTGTGTGGGTCTTACCCACAGCTGAATGGTAGTGAGACAGGGCCTCAGCCAACTGTCCGGCTGCCAGCAGCTTACGGCCCATTTCCAGATGTTGCTCGATCTCAACAGGTGTGGCGCCTAAAACACCTGAAAAGTAGCGAATTACACATGACATCAGGCCTCAATTTTGGGGTGATTTAAATGAAAAATTACTGGATGTCAGAACATCTTTAAAAAAAAACTCAATCTGCCTCATGGGATTGAGTTTACATGCTTCATACATGTTTACATCTACTGGGGTAAGCCTTTCTGTAACGTCGTAAAAACAAAACTCCTTTAAGTTCCCATGCATATTGTGTTTCGGTTCACAATGGCAGCTCAAAAAGTGAAAGCATGCAGGCTCGATTTGGAAAACAAAACCTAAAAATACGAACTACCTCCTCTACTTACTTTCTATCACAAACTATCACTTCTAAACTTTGTGAAGTACCTTGGAGTAACGCATCATGATTTATGTACAAAACAGCATTACCAATGTACATGTACAATAATAAAATGATAAAATTGTACATTTTGATGTGAAATCAGACCAGGGAATTTTTCAATAATCCCACCGAGCTGTCAATACAGTATACTTGTGTATCAGATGGCATTAAAATAGTGTCTAAATAGGCATATCACTAAGTTTTATAAGCCAATATGATTTTACACTTCTTATTTGTCACTTCCTGTTCCTGTTAAACGTATCATTATGTAAATCATCAGATTATGATGCCACGGTGTTCTGATATACATTTCATGATTAACCTATTTGTGTACAATGTTATTTGGTGGTAAGTGGCAATACCAGTGTTAACATAATACATGTCGAAAGACATGGTATCACTATGGTACTTTCCGGACAACTTATCACAGAAAACCTGACAAAACCTAAAATCCTTTGCCTATATAAGCAAAATCTAGGGTATGGAAGAAGAATAAGAGTGAAGTCTCACCGTCCAGCTGTAGGTCCAGGACCACACAGAGCAGAGACAGGGAGGACAGGACACTGTTCAAACCTCTCCGCCGTCCCGAATCCATCATGACATCTATCAATTACACAACCGTTTGTCTTTCCACTATGCTTTACAACAAGCAATAAGACAGAAGGAGTGTTAATACTCAGATCACCATAACAGCGGCATATCCGGCATACTTGTTAAGGAGATGTTTCTGTTGTCCGGGTTATAAATATGTCCGAGTTGAATAAAGGAATGCGAAACTGTAGTTCCGTGTGTCTCTCAATAACTGTATGATACTTTGTTTTGAGTTGTTTCAAAGCCCCGTGTGACAGTGACTGTGCACAACAGCTGTCGGACACGTACTTCAGGAGACTCCTCTTGCTGAACCTCTTAGGTACTGTACAATTGGAATTCAAATCGCCCTACATTTCAGCGCGGTGACATCCGTGTTTGTCGACGAACGTGGTCTCGTCCCATTGGCCGAATTACTTTAGCGCACTGGACGAACACGCCCACATCTAGCAGTGTGGACTGATCTGATGATATTTGATATGACCCTTCATTTACTAGAGATGAAAAGTCTATTCTCACCTCACCCAGAATCGGGAGTAAAGGATTATATTATATTATATTATATTATATTATATTATATTATATTATATTATATTATATTATATTATATTATATTATATTATATTATATTATATTTTTGTATTATATTTTTGTATTATATTATATTATATTATATTATATTATATTATATTATATTATATTATATTATATTATATTATATTATATTATATTATATTATATTATATGAAGCTCCTAAAGCATTATGGAATAGAATACAACAAATCTTGTAGTAATCACCAAGTCTTGTAGTAAAGGAAACCATGGGAAATATCTATGTATTCTATTCTATTCTATTCTATTCTATTCTATTCTATTCTATTCTATTCTATTCTATTCTATTCTATTATGTTGTGTTTTATAAAGTCCATATGGCATTATGGAATAGAATGCTTAAAAGAACCGCCAAATTGCTGTAGTAAAGGAAACTGTCAATATCATTGGAAATATATGTCTATTCTATTCTATTCTATTCTATTCTATTCTGCTGTGTTATATAAACTATCACCCTCTCATCATCTCAGTAGTGAAGTATCATCATCTCAGTAGTGAAGGAAACCATAAATACCATGGTTAATATCTGCCTATTCTATTCTATTCTATTCTATTGTGCATGATGGAATAGAATACAACATAAAAGAATCATAAGGTCTTGGTAGTAAAGGAAACCGTGGAGACCATGGTTAATATATGTCTATTCTATTTTATTTTATTCTATTCTGCTGTGTTTTATAAAGTATCACCCAATCTCAGTAGTGAAGGAAACCATAAATACCATGGTTAACATCTGCCTATTCTACTTTGTATTCTATTCTATTCTATTCTATTGTGCATTATGGAATAGAATACAACATAAAAGAATCATAAAGTCTTGGTAGTAAAGGAAACCATGGAGACCATGGTTAATATATGTCTATTCTATTCTATTCTATTCAGCCTCTGCCTCGGCAAAGGCCTTCAGCCTTTGTATTTTATAAAGCTCCTAGAAAATGTAGGAATAGAATACAAAATAAAAGAATCATCCAGTCTCGGTTGTAAAGGAAACCGTAGTTTCCACTGTATTTAATTGCTTTTGTTATTGATAGGCCAATGTATATCAGAATAAATGCATATTAGATTAAATAGTGTAAATAATGAAATTCTGTAAGAATGGAAAATAAAATATGAATTGTAGTATCATTGTTGGTATTACGTGTGCCGTGTCAAACAAGAAAACAACCCTAAATACATAATGGCCTTTTTAATGTCATGTATGTTTAATGTTTGTATAAAATACATCATATAAAACAGGGTCATTTGTACAAATAAATGGAGAAAAGATCATCAACACATTACGAATCCTTCTTTTCTACATATACCTTGATTCATGTAACTACGGCAAAAGAATTCTGAACAAAATCGAAGCATTTTCATTATGTAATTCCTAACTCTTTAATTCTGTATAATGTTCTATGTATGTGTTTTTGCACAGCAAAACTGACATGGTAACATTTTACATGATTTACGACTCATTCTTAGGAGGCCAAAAACTGCCAGTGCGTCTCTAGAAATATTTACATAATGGCACAGACAGAATATTAACAGTCAACTGTTATAGTAAAATATCATGTTTGGCCATGAAGTTGACCAGAATTGCTTCATCTAGACGTAGGCGTTTCTTCCATAAGTGCTCTGAGCTTCTCTCCTGGATGTGGACGTTGAGTAAACCGTTTCTCTCGTGGGCTGGTAGGGGTAACCACTGCAAGAATGTAGGAAACACACAAATTCATCAAACAAAATATTATAGGAAAGCATTATCTGAAGTGTGTGAGTGAGTGTGAGTCACAAAGCAACTCACGTCTTCTCGTTTGAGCCTAATTTGCAGCTGAACATGAGACAAGCTCCTCCACAGATGGCGAGAACACCCGAGGCCCAGCCGATGTATAAAGCCTCTCCAATCTCGTACCTACAGCACACACACACACACACACACACACACACACACACACACAACATATTCAGCTCACTTCAGCGTAACATACATAGGTTTCGCTTAAAATGGCTTTCAACCTAAAGCGAAAGACCTTGAAACGCACAGCATTATTCAGTGTGTTTCCTCAGAAACAGGAAAAGAGGGCGGGACACCGAACAGCTCCTCCCATTTTTAAAAAATAGCCAATAGCGTTTAGTTCATATCACAGTTCAGCTAAATCCGTTGAGCTCAGTAAAGCAGCAGTTTCCTCCTAATCTCCTACATATTGCTTTAAAATAGCATTTTGTGCAGAATTCAAATGGGTCCGATATGTTTTGGTCTCGCGCATACACTCTCAAAAAAAGGTAAAAAAACTGTCACTGGGGCTGTACCTTTTCAAAAGGTAAACTTTTGTCCATTGTAGGTGCTAATATTACATTTTAAGTGTTAATATGTAAATTTTATGTTCTATTAAGTACATTTTAGGTGTTAATATGTACATTTTAGGTGTTAATATGTACATTTTATGTTCTAATAAGTACATTTTAGGTGTTAATATGTAAATTTTAGGTGCTAATATGTACATTTCAGGTGCTAATATGTACATTTCAGGAGCTAATATGTCCATTTTAGGTGTTAATATACATTTCAGGTGCTAATATGTACATTTCAGGAGCTAATATGTCCATTTTAGGTGTTAATATGTACCACTAAGGTACCAATATGCAGCCTTTGGGTACAAAAGTGTACCTTTTGAAAAGGTACAGCCCCAGAGACAGCTTTTGTACCTTTTTTTCTGAGAGTGTATGATGCGTTCTGCGCAATCGTGTCCGGAGCAGATTGTGTGCGCGCTGTGGCTAAGTAACACTAACGAGGAACAATATTTCATTCACCCCAATGAAAAGCATATTTACACTGTCTGAATTGTTCCCTATCCCCCCTATATAGTGCACTACATGTGCCATTCACCATGCAGAAAATAGTAACCAATTTCAGCCATAGCTTCAGCATCTATTTATATAGTGTAGGGGCGGAGCTTCAGATTCTAGAGTATTTGATTGGACAGAAAATCTGATGAGAAGATTTTACATGAGTGATGTCATCAAAATCATCGATCCATGGCAAAAGTGAGAGACTGTACGTTTTGAACGCTTATGTTATATCGTCTAAATGCAAATGTTGTCATTGTTTTGGAGCGCACTAGCACACCTGAGCCAGTCGAGGCCTTCAGGGATTGCAGGTTAGAGAGTGCTTTGAGCTTAACTCTGCTGTGTGATGTGGGCAATCCTATAAGATCATTACAGATCACACTGTCAGACATGGATTTAATAAACTTGGATACGACTTGTATGTAGATGATGATGACACCCATTGAATCAGGCTACGGCGCAAGTTAGAAGAATAAAACGTAGGCTAATCATCAGCATTTAGTATACCGTAGTAAACAAACAGAGCAAGGTGATCACACTTTAGCAATTGTGGTTTTTATGTTCGCTGAAAAAAAAGAAGAGGAAGCAAAAGAGGAGAATATGGACGCGGTCATATAGGGAAGAGAGGCCAATTTGACATTCAAATCTTGCAAATGGAGATTGAGGAAAGTAGTTTTAGAGCCAAATTTAGCATTGATCAATTCACCATTTCGTGTTGCATTTTTATTGGCTAGTCAGCAGCAACCATACTAGGCTTGTTTGAGATGCGCCTAGCCTCGGCTGAAATCAAGAGGTCCTCGCTGCAGTCTGTAGCACGATGACGTAGCTGGACGGTCCAATACGTGTTGGACCCTGTAACGCGCGCATGCGCACTAGTCAAGTCAAGTCATCTTGATTTATATATCGCTTTTAACAATTTAGATTGTTTCAAAGCAGCTTTAATTTAATGTAACAGATTGTTTTTGCTTTATAGCGGTTCATGAATAATGTTATTTTACAGCTAGTTTTGATTCTGTCGAAATGATAATTTGTTATTAAATTGGATGACACCGTTCTCTCTAAACAGACTTTAAACGCGATCCTGTGATAAACGCTGATGGCACATGCACATTAAGAATTCATAGGCCTAGTTAGTGTAGAGAGTTGGTGAACAATCGTTGATCTTCCAAGAATACATTTAAATATGGTCACGAGCGAAGCTCTTATTTTCAGAGCTTTCAGAATAAAACTTTTTTTTAAAATAATTGCGACTTTTTCCTTACAATTGCGAGTATACTTTTCGCAGACTTTATTTCTCAGAATTGTGAGAGTCAGAATTGCGTGCAATAAAGCCAATCGCATGTTATACATAATTGCTTGAAATAAGCCTCAATCGCATGTCATAAAGACATAATTGCTTGAAATAAAGCCTTAATCGCATGTTATAAAGACAGAATTAAGTGAAATAAAGCCTCAATCGCATGTTATAAAGACATAGCCTAATGAAATAAAAGCCTCAATCGCATGTTATAAAGACCGAATTAGGTGAAATAAAGCCTCAATCGCAAGCTAAAGACAGAATTGGGTGAAATAAAGCCTCAAT